AGGCGTCAAACCAGAGGGAGTCCAACCACAGGCGTCAAACCAGAGGGAGTCGAGCCACAAGCCACAAGAGTCGAACCAGAGGGAGTCAAAAAGCACAGGAGTCGAACCAGAGGGAGTCGAGCCATATCAGGCGTCCAACCACAGAGGGAGTCGAGCCACAAACCACAAGCGTCGTCGAGCCACAGGAGTCGAGCCACAGGAGTCGAGCCACATGAGTCCCCGCCCCCTCCTCCACGTGCGTTCAGGCCCGCGGCGGGCGGAGCGTGGGGCCCGCCTCTGCTGCCTCCGCCTCTGTTGAGACAGAGAAAGAGCGGAAGGTTCGACTCGCGAAGGAGTCCTTCGACGTCCCGTGCAATGTTATTGTCCTTCTTTGTTTTTGTAGGAGAGCCTCTTGTGAGTGGGGCTTAAGGGGGCTTAAGGGAGCTTAACGGGTGTAAGGGGGCTTGTGGGGGCTTTACAGACGTCAAACCTTGCAGGCATCCAACCTCACAGGCGTCGACCCGCAGGCGTCTAGCCAGAGGCGTCGACCCACAGGCATCGAACCACAGGCATCGAGCCCCCCCTTTAATCAGCCCTGAATCCTAGGCGCGGCGAGATCAGAACGACGCGACTCCCTGGTCGGAGTTGCTCGTGAAGCACAACATGGTGGTCCTTGAGGGCGGACTCGTTAAACGAGTGTTGCTCAACCATACAGGAGACTGGCGGTACGACTTGCCTGACGAAGCTTGCGTTCACTTGGCTCACTTTGGACTGCCTACGGTTCCTGCAGGGAGCTTTCGCCAGATCCTGGAGGCCAAGTGGCGTGAGATCCTCATCTCGTCTCCGTCCAGCCAGGCACATGCTATGTGGCGCTGGTTCCGGCAGTACTTGTTGGAGTGGCAAGGCATTACCTTGCCAGCATGCCCGCCGCGTTGGCGGCCTTGACAAGAGACAGCTTGCAGGCCACTCAGGTGCAGCCGGACGGCCCCGCCAAGCCGGATCTCGGCTTGTTTCATTTGATATTCACCACACGATGCATCAAAGTGGGCTACACCCACCAGTCTCAGCTCCGGACTACGCCCGACACGTCGGCCTGGGTAGCTACCTGTCGCCGCTACGCCCAGCTTTTCCGGCAGCTTCAGGCACGCATGAGTCGGTTGCCCGTGGTCATCTTGTGTGGGTCGGCGGCCCAGGCGCATGCCCTGGAATCGTTTGTACACCTCTATATGAGGGTGTACGAGCGGGAGATGTGGATGGATGTTGGTGGCTCATGGGAATGCTACTCTTTGATGAGCCAGGACGTGATCTGCGAGCAGGTCCTGCGACGAGCCCGTTGTACAGCAGCACAGCTCCAAGCTGGAATCTCGGTGATGGAGAAGATGCGCAGCCTCGTCGAGAGCGACAGCTCGCGTGCTCGGCAAGTCAAGAATGAGATGGAAACCCAGATGTCGCAGGCCTTGAACACAGCAGGCCTCTTGTACAGTTTACAGGAAATAGAGCTACGCAGCCTACCTCCTGTGCCCAAGGCACCTGAGCAGCAAGGCCTTCTTTAGCTCCCGTATGAGATCGTAGGCAGCGACTCCGGTGAACCTCCGAGTCCTCTTTTGTACCCCACAATCCCAAAACACCTACCCCTTCAGCACCACAAGTTTAGGGTTGTTGTTTTTGCAAATGTACGGGCTCTGGTAATCTCCGGGTTGAGGTGCCCCAAACCCTGCACTGTCTGCACCCTAGACCGTGTTTTAAAAGGTCACACGCTGAAACAGAGATCCGAACTCCTCAAACATCCAGAGGCAGCTGGTGCACCCTAGCCGGGTCTCGGAATCCTATATGGTAGGGTGTCGGCGTGCGCCCCAAAAACTAAGCCCTAAAACCCTAAGCCTAAACCCTAAACCCTAAACTCCTGTGCCTTAGCTCCAAGCCTGCAAATCTAACCCCAACCCTGAAGCCCGAAAGCCCCGCAAAGCCCAAGGTGACTTCTGGCCGCCAGTCTGTGGTGATCAAGCTGTGCCCTGCATCAAGCTTCGAAGTTGTCTGTGTTTCAAGTTCAGGGTTCAGGGATTCGGTTTAGGGTTCACGAAACCCTAAACCTTGCTTACATCCCAACGCCTCAAGCTTCTTGAGCGCGCCCTATCACCCAAGCCACAGCGCCACAGAGCTGCCAGGAAGCATTCTGATCCCACCCAGCAAGAGCCCCAGCTGGGCATTGCCGAGGTGCCGCGGTCGCATTCTATGATTTTTTATAGCTTGCGCTCTTTGATTATAATTATAACCCTAAACTAAACCCTGAGCCTTAAACCCGAAACCCTACACCCTAAACCCTTGTGGCTTGTTGTAGCTCACGTTCTGCTTCTGTTGGGGAATGTCAGGCCGAAGTAGGTTGGGGTTCAGGTCACGTCAGGCTTTCGAGGGTTGTGTGAATCGGGTTGAAGCACGTCTTCGGTGCTTGACTCAACAGCCCTGCACAAAGCCGTGCCCGAGGTAAAAGGCGTGGAGAAGTACAGTTACGGAGATGAGGGTCCCTTGGGCTTTAAAGGCCGAGATATCCAGGTTCAGGGGTTGTTGACGGATTCGGGTGCAAGATTGAAATCCTGATCCTCAGACCCTGAGCTCTGAGCCCCAGAGCTTAAACCCTTGGCCCCTTAGAAGTTATACCAGCTTCTTGCATGTGTTTTTCGGGTTGAGGTCCGCGCGTGGTTCGGAATCATGGGGACTCAAGGGGTCTTCGGGAGCTGAGATCCATCATGGGAAGCCTGGGGTTGGGGTTTGCGTGTTTTGAGCTTCGGAGACCACCTCTTGGCGCGCAGGACTCCGATTGGGGTGCGGAGGGGAGGGGGTTCGGTAGTAAGCCCCTAGCTTCTCGCGTGGCGATGCCCCGGCGCGACGTGGATTTTCGAAGCCAGTTGCAAACCGTGGTCCCCCAAAAGCCCTTGATTGCGGGCTTGCAGGTTTAGGGCGGTTTTCAGGTTTGAAGGTTCATGGGCAGCGAGAAGTAGGGCGCAATGTTATAGGTGTGTTAGTACCTTAGCTTCTTCTCTTAACCAGACTCATCCCGCAGCGAACCCCTCAGGTCCTTGGGCACTCCCCGCGCCGCGGTTCCCGTCCTGATTTGGGGGAGCTCCCCAGTTTCACAAACAAATTGGCGTTCTGGTTCTTCGTATTGGGCTAAGTAGATACCCATTCCCCCATTCCCAACTAATTAACCAGCAGTAAGTGTGTGCTTAGTCGCCTGTGCTCTTGTCTCCTTGAAGCTGCGGCTTCTCTAAGTGTGTGCTTAGTCGCCTGTGCTCTTGTCTCCTTGAAGCTGCGGCTTCTCGTGGCCGCGAAGCCAGTGCGCGATGCAAAGATGCCGGCTGGCTTGGGGCTGGATTTAAGGGCTTGGGGTGTAGGGTTTAGGGTTTAGAGTTTAGGGTTTAGGGTTTTAGGGTTTAGGGTTTAGGGTTTAGGGTTTAGGGTTTAGGGCAACAACCTAGACCTAGATCCTCATTCGACAAAGGGCAAGAGGCGGCTGTCGGTTGGGTTTCTTGGTGGCCCACACCGCCTGTAACGATCGAGGGTCTGTTGCCTGGTCCGGGCACCTAGTCACGTCTGAATCCACAACCCTGACTCCGATCAGAAACCCTAAGTGCTGAGCCGGCTGCTGAAGTATGCCTATAGAACCTTAAACCCTAAACCCTAAACCCTAAACCCTAAACCCTAAACCCTAAACCCTAAACCCTAAACCCTAAACCCTAAACCCTAAACCCTAAACCCTAAACCCTAAACCGTAATGATAGGAGGAGGGAGTCGCCCATGTGGCAGTTGGCAGTGTCTGGCAAGTTGGGGGAGTTGTCCATGTGCGGAGACCAGAACGCAGCGAACTGGATCGGAGTTGTCTGTTTGTTGTTGAGGTGTAGGGTTGAAGATTTAGGGGTTTCGGCTGGTTTTGGCTGAAGGTTTAACAGGACTCACAAGGTTGCATGTCGCGCTGTGTCCGAGGTTGAGGACGAAGAGTAAGAGTGGTAGGCGATGATTAGTATTTTTGCACAGGCCCATGCTTCGATTTAGATCATTTACCCCAGTTCGGAAAACCAAGCCCGGCACAAACTGCACGCATCCATCATGTGGCGGCTCGAAAGCTCTCCACCCCAAGGCACCCAAAACCTTGTCCTGGGAGCAGGCGCCATGAACACGGACTGGGAGCTGAGACGAATGTGACGCCGCGATGCTGGCTTCAGGGTTTTCGTCTTCGCGTTTAAAGGGAGCTTCCGGCAACCGAAGCCTTAAGTCACGTGCCTGACACCCGAAGCCCAGATGAGCTCTTTTCCTTGAAGCCTGAAACCAACCTGCACAGCTACACCGACAATGGCAAGTCAAGACCCGAGGGCTTGTTCTGGGACAGGGGCCCATTTTCCTCAAGAAGCAACTTTGCCCCACCCGTGCAGCAGCAAAACCCCGGGATCCTCCCTAAGATTTAAGTGCAAGATTCAATTTGTTTGGGAGGTGAAGATGGGGGGGGGGAACTCACGGTGCAAGCATACAGGGTTTACTGTTGCAAGCGGTTGAAGGCTGCCTTCGCTGATGTCGACGTGCACGAGATTCTTGCACAAATGTCAATGTGGGTTCCGAAAATAGGGTTCCTTGGGGTACCTGATTTCCGTAGACCGCCAAATGGGTTTAGGGCTTTACAGGCGGCAAGGGCTCGGGTGTAGAGGCTGGCCGGTTGGGCCCTTGACATTGAAGCTTGCCCGTGCCGGGGAAAAGGCAGCTGCGATCGGCCAGTTCCAATGTGCATGGAAGGATGGTAAGTAAGAGTCACGACCAGCAAACATAGAAAGGTATTAGCCATGCTTTGGAGGACATGGCTCCTGAACTGGCATCGCCGCCACGCCTCTACTGCTGCTGCTGCTGCTCCTCCTCCTCCTCCTGTCGCCGCTTCATTTTTGATGGGTCGGCATGCCCAGATCTGCACACTTGGGACCTGTTTTTCGGCCCAAGCCTTTTTAGAACCTGGGCGGCGACACTGCAGGCAACATCTAGCCATGCCAAGCATGCGTCAGAGGCCGTGGAAGGGAGGGTTGGTGCAGCTGATCCCCTGCGCAGTGCTAGCAGACTCAAAGCCAAGAGTAGCTGCTGTTTGCAGGACACGTAAGGGAAGCGACGCTGAAGACGATCACACGAGACCCTAAACCCTGTACTTACTTCCTGGTTATGAACAGTCTTTAAGCCTTCGTGACCCGCCTCGGCCTGCCCAGTGAGGAAAGGGGGGCGGGGGGTTGGGGCGCGGGGGAGCTTCGGTGAGGGGGCTGGTGCGGGGGGTGGGGCTGACGGTGGATTGAACCAAGGCTGAGTCGTGCCTAAACCCTATCGAACCCGGAACCCAAGCTGGATCAAGGAGCCACAAACTCCAAAACCCCAAAAGCCCTCAACCTCTGAAGCTCCAACATAGACGCTGACAGCGTAACACACGCATGCCCTGACGAAGGATCCCTTGAATTCCCAAACCCTAAACCCCGGAATCCTGAACACCCAAGCCCCTCAACACCAAACCCGACAACCCTCAAACCCTCAAACCTCAAACCCCTCAAACCCTCAAACCCTAAACCCTAAACCCTCAAACCCTCAAACCCTAAACTCCTCAGGCGCTCATGCGCCGGGTTCGTCGCCTGGGCCTTGGCGGCCGCTGCGCTGGGCGCGGACGCCCAGTTGGCCCGAGGGGCTGCTGTGGGGGTTTAGGGCTTAGGGCTTAGGGTTTAGGGTTTAGGGTTTAGAGCCACAAGCAGGTGTAGGGTCAACAGCAGGTTTAGGGTCTAGGGTTTCGGGCCTACTTTCTTGGGTGGTCATAAAAATTCGGGCAGTAAGAACCTAAAGTAGATTAGAAACAAAGAAAGCAAGAGCGGCCCTGGCGCTGCCCGCGAGTCTCCAAGTATGGTTTACCGGGGGATGCTAACGAGGCTGCATCTGGTCTGGGGCTCCTGTCCAGAAGGCGCTTGAGTACAAACTGTACACGTCACACATGAAAAGGAAACCTGAACTAGGACAGAGGCTTTGCGTTGTTTCTGCCCAAAGCGGCCGTTATTCCGGGCAATTGTGTGGCTCGTTGAATCAGTGTGCTCGTTGCAGATGGTAACTTCAAGACTCTATCATGCCAAACAGACCGCTGAATCAGATCGTAGGTGTTAACAACTCATGTTAAGAACTGCCTGGGATCATGCAACAACACACATGAACTATTTGTTTGGCTCATGTGCCCCTCACAAATTACTGTAGGTTGCTGCTTGCAGGGCCCTCGGCCCAAGAACCCTCGATCCTAGGTTTAGGGTTCGGGGCTAAAGCACCGATTTTGGCCGACGGGTGTAGGTTTGGGTTCCTGGGGGGGGCTCAGGCAGGTGTAAGAGAGTGCCAGCGTAGGTTAGTTTCGGTTCACAGGTGCTCTTTAGTGTTCATCCACCTTCGCTCATGAGCCCCAAGCTGCTCCAAAAGGCAGATGGACGGTGACACCGTCCATCAGTTTTGTCGCTTGGAGCTCAGTGGATCTCAGGCCGGCAAAATCGGGGGGTAGGGTATAAGAAGTGTATTTTCAGGAGCAGCGCCAGATTCGCCGGATTCGGAGAATCGGGGCTGAGACCTAGCAATGGCCCTGCTTCAGCACAGCCAACCGAGAAGCGGCTTCGATTCGATGTCAAGCTCGCCTGTGCTCGGCAGTATGTATAGTATGTATATTCCTATCATAGGGACTTTGGTATCCTATGGGTACCCCGGGACCCCTATATTGGGAAATACTTGCCAGTTGCCCCTGTATCCTGTTCCTCAAACCAGGCAAGCCTCAGACCTTCATTCACACCCCCGAAGCCATTCTAGACCGTTTCGGTTTTCAGCCACCGAAAACAACCAGAGGGGGCTCGTGATCAACCCCCACATCTGCACTAAGGGCTCTGGCAGTGCGCCGGCCGGACGACTCAGCGCCAGGTCCGGAATGCGTGAATTCTTAGGGTTGAACCGGGGGCTTCAACCACACCTTTCCGAGTGAGGGTCTGATGAGGAGACATATCGAGGAGGCTTTGGATAGCCGACTGCAGAAGGGGCTAAAGAAGCTGACGGAGTGTTGACCAGGTCGATGCCGAAGCCCCTGGAGTTGAATCACAGTTGAAAGCCTCAGACCATCATGCAAAGGGTGTCAGGGTCTTACTGTTGTTTCGGGCTTGACTGCTTAAGGTCATATTGAAGATGTTTCTGGATTGAGGGTGGGAGGTGAGTCCGCCCCTTATGATAGCCACGAGCCTCCAACCCTTATCCCTGAAACCAACGCTGAACCATGAATAAACTAAGCACCAAACCCTTCAACTCACCCTCAACCCAAACCTTCGACCCTTAAACCCTAAAGCCCTAAGCCCTAAAGCCCTAAAGCCCTAAAGCCCTAAAGCCCTAAAGCCCTAAAGTCCTAAAGCCCTAAAGCCCTAAAACCCTAAAACCCTAAAACCCTAAAACCCTAAAACCCTCAAACCCTAAAGTGCCCCCCACCCCCCGGCCCACCTGACTTTGGGAAGGCATGCCTCACCCCTGGGAGAGATGGCTGGGCCCTGCCGGCGTGTTTGCGCGGATTTCTTTGGGGTGCTTTTTTTAAGGGTTGGGGGTTTAGGGTTTAGGGTTTAGGGTTTAGGGTTTAGGGTTTAGGGTTTAGGGTTTAGGGTTTAGGGTTTAGGGTTTAGGGTTGGGATGTAGTAGGGATGATAATACTAGTAGGGGGTACTAGAATCCCTATTGAGGACTGTGAGTATAAGGAGGAACATCCCAAATCTTCGCCTCCTTCAGACAGGAAGTCGCAATGAGAGATGGGGGCCATAGTCAGCACCCTGAAAACACAACTAGGGCAATGCATGGGCGATGGAGCGTCATTCAAGGCGGGTTGTTTCTTTAGGGTTCGTACCCCGCCATGTTTCAAACATGAAAGTAGGTGGGAGCTGTTTGAGAGCCTGATTCAGTGCTGCGCTTTTGTTGGTGTCGGTCCCTGTCTATACGGGCACTATGGAGAAGGTGCCCTGCAAAAAAGAGGTTCAAACATCAGGGATGAGTCTCGCCGATGCCTCATGTCGCGATGTTGTTTTTTAAGCATGGCTCGCCCCCCGTATACCTGAGAGAGATGGCACCTCCCTCGGAAGGTCGAGGCTTAAGGTTTCTTGTTTAGGGGACCGTTCGCAGAGACATAGGCAAACCCAGAACCTTCGAAGCCTCCATGAATCCATGAAGCGGGGGTTGAGGATGTAGCACCTTTGCGTATCAAAGGTGCTCCCTTAAGAACCCCAAGGTTGAACCCTCTTCTCCTAGAAGCCTGAACCCTAAACCCTAAACCCGAAACCCGAAACCCGAAAAAATCCAAACTTAGCCCCTGAACCCTGAGAACCGAAAGCCCTCAAACCCCAAACCTGCCAACTTGCTTGTGCAACCCAGGGCCAACCTCGAGCAGCTGGAGGCCTTCAGGGTTCGGGGTTCGGGGGTCAGGGTTTAGGGTTAGGGTTTAGGGTATAGGCTTTAGGCTTTAGGCTTTAGGCTTTAGGCTTTAGGCTTTAGGCTTAGGCTTTAGGCTTTAGGCTTTAGGCTTTAGGCTTTAGGCTTTAGGCTTTAGGCTTTAGGCTTTAGGCTTTAGGCTTTAGGCTTTAGGCTTTGGGCTTTGGGCTTTAGGCTTTAGGCTTTAGGCTTTAGGCTTCAGGGCTAGGGCCGGAGGTTTATTTGGGGTTTAGGGTTCGCAGTTCAGGGTTTATGGTTTCTGCAGGGTTCTGAGGTTGTTGGGCTGAGGGCCCCCGAACCCCAAACCCCCAAAAGCCTGAGATCACGGCTTGGGGTTGAGATTTGGGTTGGTTTGCGCAGCACTCGTGGGTTTGTAAACATGAGATCCCTTAGCCCGGCGCTTTCAGAATCTAATTGACCGGGATCCCAGGGTTGAGGGTTTGGGGTTTAGGGACCTGCCCAAGGCCTCCTTCCCCAGGGCTGAGGGCCCCTTCTGAGTTCCCTCAGGGCTCCCCTTAAAAAACCGAGTGGTCACCGCCTCCTTGCGCCCGTGAGCGTGCTCAAGGGGTTTACGGCTTGGGAGAACGAGGGCATGGTGACACCCTGACTTGCTGGCTCTTAGCGCAGACCCTTGAGTATCTAGAATCCAGAAGGTACAGGCCCTTGAAAATTCAGCACTCCGCAGTAGCATCGGGTAGTTTACAGGAACCTTCCTTAATTCCCTCAAGTCGTAGACCACACACCCTAAACCTTTATGGAACCCCAGAAAATGTTGAGCCCAGGAGCTGGCAAAGGATCCCGAGAAGATGAAGATGCCTGGCGCAAAAACATGGCTTGAGGGCTTTTCGGGCCCTGGAACTATCTCCCTTGAGAGGGTCTCGGTGGCTAGGGCCGTTTTGTAGTAGGGCTTTCTCGCTTGGCCCCTGGGGTCTTGGGGCTTCGGAATCCCACCTCGCTTTTTTTGTGGGCTTCAGATCATGTCTGCTTGCTCCCAACTTCGCCCCACCTGACCTTCTTGGGGGGGGGGAGGGGTCTAGAAAGCCTACTTCAGGAAACTTCAGGACGAAGTCGATGCCATGATGAAGGACCCTGGCACATGGGCTACGCGATCTGGAAGGGTTCCGGGCCATCCCACAGTCAGGAACCTCATCGCAAACCTTTACAACCCGAAAGAGAAGGAATCCGCTGTCTAGGATGCGCACGAATGCCCTTTTTAACGCTTGCAGGGGGTAGGCTCCTTACAAGCCACATGACGCCAAAAAATGCGCTCCTTTTCAGTCTTGGTTAGATTACTTGGTGAACTTAGTTTTTTTGGAACGAACCAAATACGAATCGTAGACCACTTGTAACACCTCAGCGCGTGGACTGGCCACGCATTGCAGGGAGCTGTGGGCTTTGGGGTCATCATATATTCTGGATATTGCAATGTATTATTGCATTCTTGTAATGCGATATGATAATTATACTATTATGTTGTTGTGTTGATGTTTTCTTCTTATATTACGATACTAATATACTATTATGTTGTTATATCGAGATTTTCACATCTATTGTTTTAGGGCCTCACGAGTGAACCCCAGGACCCTGCCAAGAAGAAGGCTCTCGAGGCTGGGTTGGGATGACGGGATCCTGGACGGCTGGTGCCTTGGGGGCTTTTAGGGTCCACGTAGAGTCAAGACCTCTAAAGAGGGTCTAGGGGTGTTTAGGGTTTAGGGTTTAGGGTTTAGGTTTAGGGTTTAGGGTTTAGGGTTTAGGGTTACCAGTAAAAAGGGTAGCTTCCCTCCCTGTGCGTTCATGGTCCTACTAGAACTCTGATTCTTCGCATCCGTCCATGCCATACCCTTCATGGAAGCCTGTGCCGCTAGTGTCAAGCTGGAAGAAGCGCAGACAACATGCGACATGTTACATCATGTGCCCTCATCCGAAGCCCCCTAAACCATGAACCCTAATAAACCCTACTCCCTGACCCCTCATCTTCGTAAAACCCTAAAACCCTAAAACCCCAGAACCCTGAAACCCTAAAACCCTAACACCCTAACACCCTAAAACCCTAAAACCCCAGAACCCTGAAACCCTAAAACCCTAACACCCGAACACCCCAATACCCTAACACCCTAAACCCTAAAACCCCAGAACCCTGAAACCCTAAAACCCTAACACCCTAACACCCCAATACCCTAACACCCTAAACCCTAAAACCCCAGAACCCTGAAACCCTAAAACCCTAACACCCTAACACCCGAAAAGCCGAACACCCTAGAACCCTTACACCCCTACACCCTAACACCCCAACACCCTAACACCCTAAAGCCCTAAACTTATCAACAGCCCGAAACAGTGTCAGGAGTACTCCAAGATGACGCAGCAGGCTGTCGCAAAGTTGCAGGACGACCCGGAGCTGCAGGAGAGCGGACTGCGGGTTCCCCTTGATAGACGTATGGTTTGGTAGGGTTTAGGGTTTTGGGGTTTAGGGTTTAGGGTTTAGGGTTTAGGGCTTTGAGTTTAGGGTGTAGGGCCTATAGAGGCTAGGGTTTGAGGTTTTGGGCTCAGACTCAGGCTCAGGGTTTAGCGACTTCCGAAATCGGCATGTCTATCTATCTATCTGTCTCTTATAGATATGTATCCACGGTGCCCAGACAGGTGCCAAGACAACCCCCGAAAAATGAATGGAAAGGGGGCTTGTCTTTGAATCAACTGGCGGCAGGAATAGGCCTGGAGGTCCGCGCGTGTTCTCTCAGCGCTTTAGGGCACGCGAAGGCGCGGTCAAGTCCCTTGATGTAGCTCGTCGGGTTTGCTGGATGCACCGGGCTTTGTAAAAGAAGTTGTGTGGAGAAAAGTGGTCGACACCCTGAATTTACTAAACGGCCCCCTGAACTGATACGCCGTGCTTGCTGACCCCCCCCTCTCATGCATCTCACCTGCAAGGCAAGAACACGCAGGGGGTGTTCTGTAGCGGCTTTGACCAGTGCCAGGCAATGGCCACGGAACACAAACCCCTACTCAAACCCTGGCCCTAAGCCCTAAGCCTGAAAGCATCCCAGTGAACCCTGAGTCAGCATGGGGTCCAGGACTTCTTCGAGGACATCAAGAAGAATGGCATGGAGGCCATGAAGAAGTACGAGAAGGATGAGAGGCCAGGTGAGGGAGTTCAGGGCTCATTCCTAAGCTCCAAACGCTCAGGGTTCGGGTCTTATCCCTCTCCAGCCTTTTGGGAATCCATCACGGCTCCTTGAGTCCTGGAGAATGTGGAGGAGCTAGCCCAAGAGGTTATATTTGTTTCATGTGCTTTGTCATCTTCTGTTCGTGGGGCACGGAAAGGGGGGAGGTGGGGCTCAGCGCCTTGTGCCTCTGAGGTCAGGTGCAAAAGTTAACAGAGTCGTGAACTCCCAAAACCCACAACCTAAACGGCCCTAAACGGCCTGTGCAGGATCCTCGCCAAGTTCTCTCAGGCTACTGGAGGCTCTCTGCACGGCTTTTGGTGTTTGGCGTTTACGTCGAGTTTTGGGGGAACGTAGGAAAGCCTGGGGCAAAGAAGTGATTTGCCATGAAACCCACAGGTCCCTTCTAGCAAGCCATGAGGAGTACTTGAAGCCTTCAACCCTTCATGATCAGTTCTCTAACTTTTCGGGTGCCCCATAGGAGAGCAGGGACCTAAACCCTCGCTCAAGTACTTCCCTGCACGCGCCATTGCCGAAGCCAAGGCCTCAGCTTTGGCCCTAAAAAGACGACCACCTATAAGGGCCCCCTGAGCCCAAAGCTCAAGATTCGGAGCCCCCACCCCCACCCAAAATCCCGCCCGGTAGGGGTGTAGGGTTTCGGGTTTTGGGGCTAGGGTTTTAGGGTTTAGGGTTTTAGGGTTTAGGGTCTAGGGTTTCGGGTTTAGGGTTTAGGGGTAGGGGGGTTCTGGGTGAAACGCAGGCCCAGAGGCCTGGATGAAGGCCATGGGTGGTGCTCGGGTCCCAGAATCTTTGGGCGCACCAGCCTTCTGGGAGCCGAGGGGTTTAGGGGTTTAGGGTTTAGGGCTTAGGGTTTGGGGTTTGAGAGTTCAAAGTTGGGATGGTCCCCCTTATACTCACAGTCCTTCATAGGGATTGTAGTGCCCCCTATGAGAATCCCTATGAAGGGCTGTTAGTATACGGGGAGGGGGGGGGGACATCCCAAGCTTAAGAGTTCAAAGGGTTGTTAAATATTCAAGGTTGTGGGGCGTGAGGGGTCTTGGAGACCATTTCGGATTGGGGCTTTACCGTCCCCTAAACTTGCTACAAAAAAATCAAAAAACCCTGAAACCCTCAGCCCTAGACCGAAACTCTAAACTAGATGAGGGCTCCCCGCTTGAAACTCACTGGGAAGGCTGCTCCCAATTTCATAAGCATTCCTTCCGGGCCTCAGGTATCGAGTTTGGCTGTGCCCTTACAGTAAGGCCCATCAAGCCCAAATCCGAACCACAGAAATCCCTAACCCTTAAAGCCCCTACACCCTTAGTGTTCCCATTCTGGGAAGGGGGAGGGCGTGCCTACCGACCAGGGCAACACCCTACCTGTCCACCCCCTTTTGGGGCTTTTGGGGGTTGGGGGCCGTGTTTCTGTTCTGTTCTCTGCCACGATCCACCTCCTTTCAGGATGCAGAAGGGAGTAGGTACTCAGAAGCACCCTTCCGCGTGCTCTGACACAGAGAGCGGCAACACACTGTGCATTAAGAGCTGCCCCAGTCTCCAGCGAAGCTAGCCAACATGCAGCAGGTGTGTCGCAACAGCACTGCCATGCAGATGCTCACTGTGCGACGTCGACTCCTTCTGGACCTGGTTCTCTGATTTCGTGTCCGTCCTCTACAACTGCTTGCTTGCGAAGATGTGGCGATTGTTTTGTCCGAAGGCAGCTGTTCATCAGGTTTGATGCCATGCTCGAGGCAAAAGCGCTCCCGGCAAACATTGCCAATCTGCGTGTCACCCTGACCTCCCCAGGGCTTGTTTGCTATCACTCAAATAGTCACCCAGCGAAGGGAAAGGATCCGACACATCGAGAGAAGTGACGGCCAACTGGTGCTCAAACTTAAGCTCCCGAAGTGCATGCTCAGCTAGATGGTGGATCTCGGCCTTATGGTGTACCAAAGTGATTCCAAGATTCAGCTGCAACTCTTCACGTAGGCCTCGCAGCGAAACGTCCCCAAGGGACACAAGTCGGCGAGCGGTTTTCCGAGTGTGATGCTGTAGCATCCTCCTTGTCGGCTTCTGGGCCCTGGGCTGTGTTGAGGGTTTCGGGACACCCTCTTCAAAATAACCCCCCTTGGAATGCTGCACTTCAGAGCCCCCCCTTTCATCCGACGAACCTGAGCCCCAAGCTCAGATGCCACCTGGTGGAATGCCCGGCGGCATGCCCGGCATGGCGCCCTCCGCCCCGAACTACAAGCAACTGGGCTTGCATGGTTCGCGTGCGCTGCATGCACCCTCGACCTGAACCCTCCAAGCGCCAACAGCCCTGACCCACCCCAAAAAACCCTAAACCGGCTCTTGCCACTTCTTGCAGGATGCCCCTGAAGAACCCCCGCCAAGTAATCCTGGCAAAAGCTGTTGTTGCTGAAGCTCTCGCTGCTTTGAAGCATACACCCTAAACCGCTAGCACGCACCAAGCCCCCGAAGCCCCCTAAGCCCCTTAACCTCCTAAACCCCTGAAACCCCCTAGGCTCCCCAAACCCCGAATCCTCTTAGCCAAGAAGCCTCACGGACAAGGCCCGGAGATGAAGTCGTCATCTTTGGCCTGGCCAAAGCTCCAGAACTGAATGGCAAGAAGGCGAGGGGCTGAGGGGCTGAGCGTCTCAGGATTTAGGGTTTGTGGAGAGGATCTACAGTAGGATTTGGTTTGGGGTTTCGGGTGGGGGGGCTGGCAGGAGTTTTGGGTTTGAGGGATGGGGTGGCGGCATCTTGCAGAATGCAGCGTCGGCGAGTGCAGTGTAGACTCGACATGCGGAGAAGAGCATGCTGCATAACGTGGAAGACGGAAGACGGGTTTAGGTAGCAAGTCCTTCAGGCCCAACCTCTACATTCCATTCTAAACGCTGTAAGCCCTTGTTCCAGGCGATGGTTGTGCCGCCCACCGCGGAGGAGAAGAAATCTCTGGAGGGCCATGACCCGAGAGACGGGGCTTTTAGGTGTTTAGGGTTTAGCTTTGGGGGTTGGGTTTCTTGAGTTGAGGACGCAGGGGCCAGGGAGGTTTAGGGGCTTAGGGGTTCGATCGTGTGAGCCCCCCCCAACCTTAAGATGAAGTTGAGAGTTATAATAGGTGAGGCGCGTAGTGGCGCCCACTACCCGAGAAGTAGCAACCCCCCTCCCCCCCTCCCTCGGGAGTTTGGAGGGCCTCAAGCAATTTAGGGAGTTGAGGGCCCTGCTTCCGTACATGACTAAAATGAGCTCGAAGGCGAACGCCTCCAACGCAAGCATCCCCGTTTAAGAGCTCGCGCGCCAGGCTTGTGCACCAGATTTTCTGGAAGTATGTACTCCAAAGCACCCGCACACACTGACGAGTCCCCAACCCTACCTAGGTCTTGATGTAGAACCTGCTGCTTGCAGGTTCTACCCTGAATCCTGGGGGGATATATATACACAAAAATATATAGCCTAGTTATTCAATTGCTGTAGTTGTAGGGTCTGCGGTTGCAGCTTAGCAAACTTGTCACACCAAGAGTAAGCCCTCAACATCCAGATCTGCAGCAACCCCCCGTCTAAAGACATTTGAAGGGCCCCTAAACCCGAAACCCTAAACCCGAAACCCTAAACCCTAAACCCTAAACCCTAAACCCTGAACCCTAAACCCTAAACCCTAAGCCCTAAGCCCTAAGCCCTAAACCGAAGCACTGCCACTGCCGCCCCATCTTTGGCTCCAGCGGGTGTTGGGGGGGGGGGGGGGGGGGGGGAGTTGGTCGGTTGAGCGTCTACTGTTGGGTTCAGGGTCGGGTTTTAGGGAGTTTAGGGGTCCCCTAAACCCTAAACCCTAAATCAACCCTAAGCCCTAAACCCTTACAACGTGTGAGGAGTAGGGTGGTTGGGATGCCCCAGGTGCAACCCTAAACCCTAAACCCTAAACCAGTAATTTCAAAAAGTTCGGCTCCAGGGGGATTTAGGGGTTCAAGGTTCGCAGATCTAAGGTTCTCAAGCACGGGGCTGAGAAGGACGTTCCAGCAAAGAAGGGTGTTCAGGGTTCAGGGTTTAGGGGTTTAGGGGTTTAGGGGTTTAGGGGTTTAGGGGCTTAGGGGCTTAGGGGCTTAGGGGCTTAGGGGCTTAGGGGTTTAGTTTAGGGGTTCCGGGTTGAGGGTTTGTCCCTTCAGCTCAGCCGCCTTGGGATGGCGGCTGGAATGTCGGTAGCTCAGCAGCTTGCCAGCGGCTGCATGGGTCATGGCGCCTGCTCGGCATGGTCACTTTTAAGTTAGGGCTTCAGTTGGGGGGGGGGGGGGAAGGGGGGCCAATTTGGTCTTAAATTGGGGAGGGGAGTATGTAGCCTGAGTTTTTTAGAAGGTGAGGGTCTGAGGCTTAGAAGGCACCTTGCAAGTGGGGTTATTGGGAAGGTCTTTGCTCCCTTAGATGGGCCACACGAACTCCCGAAGCCCATGTACAACACAGCGAAGGTCATACAGGGGTCGAAATGATTACTAATGGTATGCCCTTTTGGTCCGTATATCATTATACCAGAATACCCCCCCCCCCCCCCCCCGCCGCCCACCCAAAACCTCATTCTAATCAATACGGCCCTGCATTCGACCCTTTGCTCTTGTCAGGGTCTTCAGGATCACATTTTGTATTTCAGAGCCTTAACAAGTTCAAGGCAGCAACTTGCTGAGAAACCCCGGGTTGGCGCACTGCGGAACAGCACACCATGAGACGCGAACCCGTCTGACTGTTTCTTCTTGGCTAAGTCGGAGACTGTGAGTTAGGAGACCTCCAGGCCTAAGGTCCAATGTCCTACGTAGCCCAGTGCCGGCCAAGTCTCAAATCCTAGAGTTCTGTATACCTTCGATGTTCCCCCTTATCGGCTAGCAGTCCTGAATAGGGATTATAGTACCCCCTTGTGATAGTTCTTATGAAGGACTGTGAGTATAAGGGGGAACATCTCAATGTATACCCCAAAAACTCTTGAGCAGTCTTCTTTTCATGGCAGCTGGGAAGGGAGCATGGACCCCTAAAACACTCGTGTTTTCCAGGCGCCTCACACAGTTCTTCTTTGCCACGGCGTGGCAGAGCGGCTTACTTGCAAGTGGAGCTGGAACCGCTTTGAAAATTCGGGGCTTTAGGGCTTGGGGGTTCAACACTCCGCACCCCTTTTTAACAACACCTTGCAAGTTGGGTCCTCAAATGCCCCCCCACCCACAACAAGACCAAGAAACCCCCAAGTTGGAGCAGCTCGCAACAAGCAGTAACATAGTACCAGATAGTAATGTGACATACATATTGTACCCCAAGCCCGACAAGCCCTAGAAGCCCTGCAGCCCCCTGAGCCCCCAACAAGCGCAAGCGGTTTAGGGCCTTTAGGGTTTAGGGTTTAGGGTTTGGGGTTTAGGGTTTAGGGTACTTTCGTCAAGGACAGGGACCACAGCCTCTCGTGGCGGCGCGATTGGCAGAGGGCATGGGTGGGGGACTCGGGGTGGAGGCACGTCGGGCTCGGGGGTGTTTCTTGTAGCGCTTACCAGGGGGGATTCATGGGGTTTTGTAGGGCCATTATGGGTTTTGTAGGGCTCAGAGGGTTTACACCTACAGGGGAGGTGCTTGCTATGGTCCGTTTTTGGGGGCTTCCCGGCTAAATATTGCGGGGGCCCCCGTAGATCTGCAGGCACCCAACACAAAGGGACCCAAGTTCAGAGAACTTGTCGTCTAGCTCCGGCCTCTCAGGGGCTTTTGGAGCAGGACCTTGGCGCGTACCTTGGAGCAGGACCTTACTGGTAGAGCGTACGGACTGCGGGTCGGGTCGAGGGTTTACTGTTTAGGGTCTAATTTGTTTATTAATTCGCCTCGGCTTCCTGCCGAGAAGCGTTTTGGAACAAGCAGGCACGGGATCCGGTCTCTTATGTTGACGCCCCCACCGCCCCTGTGAGAACCCTCCCCCCCCCCCCCATCGCTTGGAGGAGTTCCTGCACCCCCTGGGACCCACTACAACCCACCCCTCCCTTTTTTTGAGATGCCACTTCAAGCCCCCATAAACCTTTTTTTTATCTGCACACAACCCGGAGGCCACACTGGAAATCCTGAACCCAACGGAAACCACCCGAACCCATCACAGGGCGCCACTGCTGAGGCTCGCCTGGAGTCCATGTCAGCTACGTCTGCCAGCCGGCAGGCCCATTCCGGGCGGTTGAAGGGGCTCACAGGTTTATAGATGGTTCATAGTGACTGATGATCGGGAAAAAGGTTTCTGTAGGTTTAGGGTTCACGCAGGGCTTCTGTTCCAAAGCTTAAAGATGCATGTTTAGGGTTTTGGGGGGTTCATGGGGTTTAGGGATTGAGAGTATTCTGTTACATTTTCGCCTATCGCCCTAGCCTGAGTGGCCTGCATTTGGGGAACCCTATATGAAGCAGGGTTATATATTTCTGTTTTTGGTGAGTGTATATAAGGTTCCTTTTTAATATTGGTGAGGGTGTCCTTTTGGGGGCACAAGAAATATATACCCTACTTCATATATCCATACACCCTTTTTGCCCTTTCTACCCTTTCTACCCTATGCACCCTATATAATACACCCTATATACCCTAAACCCTGCACCCTCTGTACCCTAAATCCTTTGTCACCTCCCGGAGGCGGGAGACTTCCGGACTTTTATTTCGGGGTTTAGGGTTGCGAGTTTTGGGGGGGAAACCGGAAAAGCCTTTAATCCGCAAGCCCTGCGCCCCTCGGTATATGAGTGTTTTTGAAACCCTAAGCCCTAAATCCCAGGACCCCCCTAAAAAAGTCGCCTAGGCCCCTTTGAGCGCTCTGCTGGCGGCGGGCAGTTGGGATGCCGCTGTCGCTCTTCTGAGGAGACGTGTGGAGGTGAGCTGAGGATTCTGGGTTGCGAGTTTTTGGAGCTTTAGGCTTTTTGGGTTTTAGGGTTTAAGGGTTTTGAGCTTAGGGTTGGTGTTGTACAGTACGATTCCTTTCGTCTTCTACGTTCCAAAGGTTATAGCCTCTTACTTCCACGAGGAAGCTTGGACAAGAGAGGTTTTCGGTGTGCTTACAGGGTATACAACATCGGGTTTACACAGGGTTTGCCAGGTTCAGGGTTTCTTTTTTGTGTACGAAGCGGTTTCGGGGGTTAGAGGCTTGGGGTCTCATGGTTGGGACATTTGGGGTTTTGGGGTTTTTGGTGCATCAGGCTTTGGTATTTGCATGATGGTGCGGGGGCCTTCGAAATTCTTCTTGGGGGCGGTTTGGGTTTCGGGTTGGGATGTTCCACCCCTTATACACGCAGTCCTTAAGCCCCCCCCCCCCCCCCTTATACTAGCAGTCCTGAAGAGGGATTCTAGTACCGCTTATTCTAATCCCTATATGGGGGACTGTTAGTACACGTTAGTACACAGGGGAACCTCCCCAGGTTCAGGGTTTAGGGTAGCTTTTGTTCAATGAGCCCGCTTGACCCCCGGAACAGCTGCTCCTGAGCTGCTGGTGGCGAGGAGGCAACCCAAAACCCAAAAGCCAAAACCCTCAACTCCCTAAGCCTTGAACCCAAAACCAAAACCCCAAAACCCTAAAACCCCATATAGAACCCTAGAGCACTGGAACCCTAGAACCCCAGAGCCCTAGAACCCTAGAACCCCAGAACCCTAGAACCCCAGCACCCCAGAACCCTACAACCCTAGAACCCTAGACACCCTAGAACCCCAGAACCCTAGAACCCCAGAACCCTAGAACCCTAACATCCCTAGAAACCCTAAAATCCCTAGAGCCCTAAAATCCCTAAAATCCCTAGAGCCCTAGAACCCTAACATCCCTAAAATCCCTAGAACCCCAGAACCCTAGAGCCGTAGAACCCTAACATCCCTAAAAACCCTCAGTGTCAGATGCCGCCAGGAGCCTGGCAGCTGCCGCGCGGCGGAACAAGGGGGAGTGCTTGGGGTGTTCTTGGGGGTTTAGGGTTTAGGGTTTAGGGATTCTAATAGGGTACTACAGTAATGGGGATCACAGGGGGGTACTATATGAATAGGGGGTATCATAGGGGGTAGGATATTCCGTCTTCTCCATTAAGGACTGTTAGTACAAGGGGGAACATCCCAAAGAAGTGCTTCCATGGGTCGACCCCTGAAACGCTCCAAAAGCCCGAGAAGCATTGGGTTTAGAGGCCTTTGGGTCTAGGGTGCTCGAGGGCAAACCCTAAACCCCAAACCCCAAACCCTAAAGGCCCTAAAGCCTAAAGCCCTGGGAGCTCCTAAAAAGCCCAGTCATGGATTTCAAAGGCCGCGTTGCGCGCCTCCGCCTCGGCCCTCAACGCCTGTGCGCCTGTGGCGTGGCAGCGCGCGGTGGCCGCTCTCAGGCTCAAGGGGCGGTGGAGTGTAGTGCGGTTCAGGATTTATTGTTTGGGGTGGGGGGCTGTGAAGTTGGATGGTGAGAGTCGTTTGTAGTTCAGCTATAGATCGGGGTAGTAGGGGGCATGATCTTACCAAATAGTACGGGTACGCCCCGTAAAGCTTGAATGGAAACCCCTGAACCCCTTGAAAGTTGGTGGGCTCAGCCCTTCATGAGTCATCAGAGGCAACTCAGGGATGTTGCGGGGCTTTAGGGTTTCGTATCTGGGGTCTTTAGGAGTTCTTTAGGGGTTTGGTAGGGGGGTTTAGGAGGGTTTAGGAGTTCGGGGGGGGGCTTACGGCTTCCGAATAACAACCAGGGCGTTTCCAGAGCTGCTGCTGCGAGCAGACGTGGTGACGTCGCTCCGCGCTTGGGCCCCGGGATATCAGCATTGCGGGGCTTCGTTGCATGAGTGAACGACGAAACCCTTGTTGATGGTTTAGGGATATGGGCCCAATGTTTGTGGGATCTCTATGAACCCCGACCCCCATACCATGTAGTTTTCGGTACCCGCCGCACTTACAAAGACAAAGATGCCAAGCACTCTGGGTTTTTTGGACCAAGTTGCTTGTGGTTCCTGGCTCTACACCCTCCCTGCTTTAGGCCTGAAGGCTCCTATGGCCGAGAATCCTTGCTTGAAGGTTTCCAGGTGCTTACAAGTAGGATCACAAGGAACTTTAAGTCAGTCTAAAGTAGAGTAGGGAGGCTGTGTTTGCAACCACATATTTGTTTAAGATTTTCAGGCTACGCAGAAACGGCTTTGTAGGATCCCATGAACCGTCACGCAGAAGTAAGTCCCACACCCAAAGCCGGAAGTCCCAAAACTCTAGCTGGCATGGCAGTCCCCATGTTGGGTACCTGTTATCATGAAGGATCATGAAGGCGCCTGTATCAGGTTCAGAGGATCCCAGCACTGACCCTTGTTTAGAGAACCGATGAACCGGAAGCCTGACTCCCGACACCCTAAACCCTAAACCCTAAACCCTACACCCTAAACCCTAAACCCTAAACCCTAAACCCTAAGCCCCGATGGAACACATCGAGGCTGTGGCTGCCTTCACCCGTGAGGGGCGCTGGTCCCGTGCGCTGGGCGCCTGCTCCGCATGGGGTTCCCGGCCTCTAAGTCCCCGGTCCTGGCAGGTTTAGGGTTTAGGGTTTAGGGTTTAGGGTTTAGGGTTTAGGGTTTAGGGTTTAGGGTTTAGGGTTTAGGGTTTAGGGAGTTTAGGGAACCCCTTAGAGCCCGTAAAAACTGGACCCTAGGCCTACTAGGACCCAGAGTGGGCCCTTATTCCCTTCTTTTAGGGCTCAGGTTCCTTGATAAGCCCCTTTTTACCAAAAAGGGCGCCCTGCTTATTCCTAGGTTTCTCTTGGGTCTTGCCCAGAAACCCAGGACTGTTGTCATCTTCAAAGCCCTTCGGCTGTCAAGCGAATGCTCGAGCCTCGGCCCTTCCGGGAACGTGTGAGCTTAAGGGCTTCCCTTCAGGCTTCGGGCTTCATTACCGCTCAGACCGCAATGAAAGTTTTGCACCTGAACGCTCTAACGCCCTGAAAGCCCTGCACCCTAAGCCCTAAGCCCCAAAACCCAAAACCCTAAACAACAAAGCCCAAAGCCCTAGACCAAGAGATCCAGAGGTCCTCTGCGCCGGCATCGGCGCAGCCCCCTGGGCTTCGGCGCTGGCGGCGCTGGCCGCGGCGTCGGGTGCAGGCACAGGGAGTGCTTCATAGGGCTTTACAGGGTTTAGGGTTTACAGGATCGAAAGGGCATGAAGGGTTTATGAAGTTCTGCCATAGGACGTTCAGTGGGTTGAGTGTTTCAGGTTTCCAAAGTTCAGGGTTGAGGGTTGAATTCCAAAGCTTACAGGCCTCCAGAAGTAGCCCTAAAATGCGGTAGTTGATTGGCTCATGAAAGTTGAATAGGCTTTGGAATCACCATTTAACCAAGTCATCGTTCCATGTGCTTGCTTCATGTGTCTGACCCCCGTCAGCTGCCCGTAACCCCCAGTTATCTGCATGTTCATGCAATGAAAAGAATCTGCAAGCCGTCGAATTGGGAAGAGTCTAATCGAATTTAGTCTAATTTAACTAAGTCTACTATGAAATCACTTTATCATTCATCCATGAAGTTGAAGAATCTGTCAATGTCGAATCGCCTGTTGATCAAGTTATGGTTTTTGCTGAGTGCATGTCACATATTGGGCCCCAGTTATGCCTGCACATTTCTTAAAGTGACCTCTGTTTTCAATGAGTTATGTACAGCTTTCAGCTGTTCAGACTCAATAGGAGCAGGACTCATTAAACACGAAAAATTCACTCACACTAGATGCCATGTGTTAGTCACCGATGTAGCCCCCAAAATACACTAAGGATCGTGAAGTTGCATAACACTTCTGAGTCACTTTTTGATCATGTTATAGTGCCATGAGCTTTTTTCTTGGCTTCTCCCAACGCACCCCCAACGCCCCCCCCAACGCCCCCCCTTTAAACCCTAACCTCAAAACGTCAAATCCAAAAATTGAAAACATAGACTAAAACCCTCTAATGTAACAATCCAAGAAAAGCAAGAAAACCTTAAAAACCCCAAAGCCGTGGGTGTAGGTGGGTGGGGGTGGGGTGGGGCGCGGGAGGTTCGTCCTGATTTCAGATGCATAAATCACATACGTATATCGAGTCGCGCTGGCTCCCGGCCACTGTGCCTAACTTGCTTTTGCAGCGCGTTGGCAGGAATCCTGGTGGACCATGTTTGTGTTAACACTGCTGTGACAGCCTGCGCTGCTGGAGGCCGATAGATTCAATCTCAAAGCAGACACCCCACGTGAGGCCTAGGCCCGTAAGAGCACTGAAGCCCTTGCAACCAAAAATTGAGCACCATGCCCTGCAGCCATCAGGCTGATCTTGGGCTCAATTGCCAGGACCCTGATAAAGAGCTCACGCCCTAGCAACGCCCTACCACCACAGGGCTTCCTCTCCTGAACACGTCTTGAGCCTCAACTGCGAGCCTACTGAAATCCTTCAGGCTTAGGGTTTAGGATCCTCAAACCTGGACCCCGTTCAACCTTAACCCTCAGGCCTTCTGGTAGGCTGCACCGTGCCCCAGAGACCGAAAGTCACCATCTGATCCCAAGTGCAAAGGATGCTCTTGTCGTTTGTCTTTCTCAGCACCTCTCCGTGCGATGTACCCAGGGGTTTTATTGAAACTTGGGTGCTGGGGAGGTTGGTGGGATTGCGCGAAGTTTAAAGCCCACACCCTGCAAGGTGAAGCCCTCGATCCTAAACCCCCGGAAGTGGCATGGGTCGTTTGGGATGTTAGGCCGAGGGTTGATGTTCAGCGTAATAAGGCAGCCAAGCCCGAGCAGACCCTGAACCAGTCCTAAGGTTGGGCCATTCGTATCCCTGAGCCCTGCACCCTCAGATGAGGAAGCCCTTAAACCCTAAACCTTAACCCTAAACCCTAAGCCCTGAAGACCCCACAAGGATGGACCCACCCCTCGGTAAGTTTGAAAGGATGCACCCCTAACCCTAAACCCTAAACCCTAACGCCGAGACCTAAAAGCCCAAGCCCGAGCCCTAAACCCTTTAGACCCTATTTGTGGCATCCGCTGGGGCAGGAGTCTGGCAGCGGGCCGTCGACTTCTTGAGGTGCTTCGAGCGAGTACTTGTAAAGTACTAGTAGGGTTTAGGATTTAGGGTTTAGGGTTCAGGGTTCACAGGGGTTAGGGGGTTGAGGGTCGGGGCTTTGGGGAGAATTTCTGGCATGAGGGGGAGCCTGATGCTTCGGACCCTCGAACCCTGAACCCCAACACCTCAAACGCGAGCCACCTCAAGGCCCAGGGTTTAGGCCTCAGTAGCGCCCTCACCTAAAAGTCGCAAGTATCCCCCACATGCACCTCAAGCCGAAGTCGGGCCATTCCAAGGAGATCAGCTCGAAGACTGCAGAAGTTTAACCTCCAGTATAGACCCCCACATGCGAACGCCAGGGAGACGTTGGCCTCCAACGTTGTGCGTTCCTTCGCGGCATTGACGTTTCTCTTTGATTCCGCGTGGCATTCCTTTCCTTGAGAGTCGGATGGCTTTCCAGCTTGAGAAGCTTCTTGAAACAGGTTCTTGAGTGGCTGAAGTAGAGCTTCCCTTCCAGACCCAAATGCCCTAAGCCCTCAATTCAGGCTTCAGCGCCGCCGTCACTGCTTGCGACGTGTCGGGCCGATGGCCCACTTCGCTCGGAATTTGGGAGTCGATCCGCTGCAGGCCAGGTCGTCCTTTGCATGAAGCGCACCCCCGACCACTTTGTAGGATAGGTCGGCCCTTCATAATCATAAAGTGCAAGAGGATCATATGTAAACACGTCTTTGGAAGCCTGTTTTACAAGCTGCAACGGGCCAACCTAGAGTCCAGAGCCGCAAATCGGGCCTCGCTTGACACTGCAGAAAGCTGGCTCTGTCCAGGCGCGCGGACTGTGATGCCATTTGTCTGTGCCTGGGTTGCAAGGGAAGGCGTGTTTCAAAAAGGAGCTGTGACCTTTGTATATGGATATGGGGGACTGTTCTACATTTTGGCTTCGGGGCCGCGATGTCACCAAACATATTCCCCCCCCCCCCCCCCCCCTTCTCAAACCCTCAGCCCTAGTCCCTGAGCCATGAACCCTAAACCTACTGGAAGCCTCCCCTGACCTCTCGATACTTGGCAGGCCTTAACAGTGGGGCTGCTTCCTGGCAGCGCCCACGGACAGGAAACCCTTGAGGTCCCAGATCCCTAGCATCCTATCCCCTTAATCCCCCTGACCCAGAAACGCTAAGCCCAGGAACAGTGTCATCAGCAGCTGCGTGCCTCGCTGGCGAAAGCCTCTGGAGCTGCTTGCTTCAGGGGCGTCGGCGAGGACCCACGGCTCAGGGCTCAGGATTTGCGTAGGGTTGTATTTTCGCTGGTTACCGATCTGATCTGGAGTGACTCTGAAATCTTGAACTCGTAAGCCATAAACCCCTAAGCCCTGAACCACTAAACCCCAACTCGGGTGGGGGGTGATTGGGAGGGGGGGGTGAGGATTCGCCGCGATGTGGTGAGCTTCAGCTCCGCGATCGGTGCCTGGAAGCACTTCCACCGGGTTCTTGCTAAGAGTTTAAGGGTATAGAGTTTACGGAGCTTAGATTCAGTTCAGTTTCCTTAGTGGGGTTATACAGTAAGTCATACAGTGCCCGTATTATGGTACTGCAGCCCCTGCACCTTGAGGCCTGTAGAATCCCCTAGAACCCCAAACTCTAAAAGCGCCAAGAGACCTGAACCTAATTGCCCTAAACCCCAAACTTCCCTCAACACTCAACCCTCAACCCTCAACCCTCAACCCGCAACCCTCAACCCTCAACCCTAAACCCTAAACCCTAAACCTAAACCCCGAAGTTTGCGCCCCTAGAACCCCAAACTCTCCATCCCGAGGCGGGCTCGAGAGTGCTCAGAAGTGGGGACCAGCTCTGGAGCTGCTGCTGGGATCCCCAATGGTACCCTTTTTTTCTAAGGGTAGTTTAGGGTTTAGGGTTTAGGGCTTAGGGCTTAGGGTTTAGGGTTTAGGGTTTAGGGTTTATGGTTGTCGGGTTTCGGGTTTAGTTACATGGTCCTTTCAGATATTCCCTTACCTACTTTAAAAAGAACTCTGAAGTATGGGCCCTTGGGTTTTATAGGGTTTATGAATGCGGGGTATATAGAGGTTCCCCAATAACGGGCCCAAAAGGGACCATGCAACTACCTTAAGATGAACGATAGCCTTCCCATTGAAAGCCCCGTTACCTGAGATGGGCTGGGGTCAGGGAACCCCCACCAACCGCGATTTGGTGAGGGTTTAGGGTTTAAGGCCTCTACTTTTTTTTCTTTCCAGCTGGGGAACCTAGGCTAGAGTACATGGCGCAGCTGGAGGCCGCTTGCAACGGGAGGGGCGTCGTGGCTTCCCCGTCACACAAGGATGGGTCCTTTGAGTCAGCGATTCGTACGTTTAGGGTTTAGGGTTTAGGGTTTAGGGTTTACGGTTTAGGGTTCAGGGTTCATGGTTTAGGGTTTAGGGACGGGGGCACCGTGGGGGGGGGGGGGGTTGACTCCCTAGACCACAGTGGTTTCGGTGGAGCTGGAATGCGGGTGGCCTATGTACCTGTCTTCTTTCAACCTCGAAACCCCACGAATGCAATCCCGGCGTCTCGAAAAAGGTCGGAGGGGGTGTTTAGGGTTTGGTCAACTCAACTGTCTCCGTCTCGAGGTTGGGGGGCCCATTGGGGGGGTGTTTAGGCTGGATTGCGCACAGGTAAACTGGGGCTCTGTGTGTGTGTGTGTGCCCTGCACCCTAAACCCGAAATCCTAAATCGTAAGCCCTACACCCGAAGCCATGAGTGAAGTTGAGGCGGGTTGGGGCCCGCTGTGGAGGCCTGGAGGTTTACCTTGGCTTGCAGGGCCAAAGCCAGTAGAACTCGAAATTGAGCTTGAGCCTTCAATGCCTAAACCCCTCCCTAAACCCCAAAACCCTAGAACATCCAAGAACCCTAAACCCAAAACCCTAGAACCCTAGGTACAGAACCCTAAACCTTGATTACCTGGACCCTAGACCGCAACGCAAGCTGAAGGTTCCACCCAACCGCGTGAGTCGAAACGCCGCGCTGGCGGCGCAGGGGGGTGGAGGCCCAGCGACTTGGGGACCCTCCTCTGCAAGCCCCGTCTGGGGCAGAATTCTACTGCCGTGCCCTATAATACCCCTAAACCTTAAACCCCAAAGCCCTGAGAGTGCTGGGCCACCGAAGAAGGCCCCGGAAGGACCCTGAGGCCACCCGGCATGCGCCAAACATCTCGACGGCTTGAGCGCAAGGCCTCTGAACTTTATTTCGTTTACGCGCTTGAGCCCTACATCCCCAAGTCATGGAAGAACCGAAGCCTAAAAATCTCTGAAGTGATCACCCGAGGTGGCGGCTTCAATCCGTTCAAGTCCCAGTATGATGCCGTGTAGTACCCTTATTATTATTTGGAGTGGTTAGGTCCCCTAGGGGCCAGGCTGTTTTAAAAGAAGGTTCGGCCAAATCTGGTTTGGCCCTCATCCCTATAAACATAAATTCGTGAAAACCTGCCCCTCCACCGCTTCGCTTGTAAAGCCCAGTAAGGAGCTGCAACCCTAAACCCTAAAACCTAAACCCCAGAGACCGCGAGCCCCAGCGCCAGGGGACTGGCGTCGTTCCTTGCGGCTGCTGGGGAATAGTCCAGGCAAGTGTGGTAGGGCCCCCAAATGACTCCTGCTACCTTCGATCGTAGCTTCTGGATTCTTGGGAGTGCGTTGTTTTTCGGAGGTTTTTGTGGGATCCTATGATCCGTTGCGCCTTGTGGGCTTTCAGAGTTGTTCCGTTTGCAGATGTGGGCTTGAGGATCAGGACTCAGAGGGGCCAACTGCGCCCTAAGAGGCCTCAACCCAACGAAAGCCCTTCAGCGCGCGGGCGCGCGGCGCGCAGGGGAAGTGAGCTACCGGGCGGCCATCGACCTTTGCGACAAGGAGGGCAAGGCTGGGACCTGAGGACGTCTCGTTTCTTCTTGCCTTCTGGGAGCGCCTGGCCCATCATTTCTAGAACTGCCAGCCGCCAGTCTACTGTTTGACAAGCTTACGGGTCAGGGACTTAAGGGTTTAGGGACACCCTACGCCCAACACCCCACAACATTCCTAAACCAACCCTACCCTCGCATCCCACGAGCTGAACCTCCAAAACCCCCAAGACCCTTAACCCAAACACCCTAAACCCCTAAACCCTAAACCCCAAACCCAAAGCCCTTAGCGCCCAAAACCTAAACCCTATGCCCCCAAAACCTCAAACCCTGAGGGGGAGGAAGCCGCTGCGCTGCTCCAAGAGGCGCACGCCTCAGGCACCCGCTCCAAAGTTCCGCATTCGCAGCAGTGCATTTGCCAGGCCAACACACCCCGGGTGAGCTGGGTCACAGAGTGTTTTGGGGGCTAAACCCTAAAACCCAAACCCTAAACCCTAAACCCTAAACCCTAAACCCCAAACCCCAAGAACCCTAAACCCAAACCCTAAACCCTAAGTAAGAACGAAGCAGCCAGGCGTGGTGCAGTCAATCTCTTTTTATCCCTGGGCCTTCGGCCGTCTGCTGGTCTTTTCGACAGACTCGAGCCATGACGCGACCCTTGGATCGAGCCGGGCTTGCGGAACCTCCTGGGGTTTAGGGTTTAGGGTTTAGGGTTCAGGGTTCAGGGTTCAGGGTTTAGGGTTTAGGGTTTAGGGTTAAGGGTTTAGGGTTTAGGGTTTAGGGTTTTTTAGGGCTTAGGGCTTAAGCGTTTAAGTGTTTGGGGTTCAAGCCCACATTGACATTGGGGTTGCGCAGCAAGAGGCCTTCATAACCCTAAACCCCAAATCCTAAGCCTTTCAAGGCTCCCTGAGTCCCAGGGCCCCAGAACCCTTCAATCTGGGAGGTTCGTTCAAAACGTCCTGAAAATTGATGGGAGAAGAGTCTATGAGCGCAATCAAGACCTCCAACCCTCCTACCTCATAAGCCCTGGAGCCTCAGGCCTTTGACGCGAAATCCCTGAACCCTGAACCCTGAACCCTGAACCCTAAACCCTAAACCCCCCCCCCCGCCCCCACGAACAGAGCGAGGCTTTTTTCGGCTCTCCACGTACTGCGAAACAGCGAGCTGCGGCTCCCTCCCCAGGACGCACTCTGAATCTGCGGTTGGAGAGGGTTTAGGGTTCAGGGTTTAGGGTTTTAGGGTTTAGGGTTTAGGGTTTAGGGTTTAGGGTTGAGGAGGTTAGGTAGGCTCATGGGGTTCTTATTCACAGGGCAAGGAGGTTTTTGAAGTAGGGAACTAGACTTCACCTCCCCAGTTCAGGTACAAGCTGACTCAGCTCCGCCCAATGATTCTTTCATATGGTATCTTGCTCTCAGTTCCTGACCAGCAACCCTGAACCCCAACTCCCGTAACCCTAAACCCTAAACCCTAAACCCTAAACCCTAAACCCTAAACCCTAAACCCTAAACCCTAAACCCTAAACCCTAAACCCTAAACCCAAAAAAACGAAACCCGAAACCCTAAACCCTAAACCCTAAACGTACGAATCGCTGACTCAAAGAACCCATCCTTGTGTGACGGGGAAGCGTTGGTTCGGGTCTTCTTGGGTTCAGGGTGAGGGCTGATTCCCAGCCCGTGAGCCCATGAAGCCCTAAACCCTCAACCCTCAACCCTAAACCCTAAACCCTAAACCCTCAACCCTCAACTTTCAACCCTCAACCCTCAACCCTAAACCCTAAACCCTAAACCCTAACCCGAAACCCCACCTCCTAAGCCCGCAAAGCCGAAGCCTTCTAAAGCCCGCACCCCAGGAGGTGACGACCCTGCTCTGGTCGGCAGCCATGCTCAGCGCCAGCGGCTGGGCTTTAGGGTGTGCGGCTTTGTGTGGTTTAGGTGTGTTTTGGGGTGTAGGGGTTTAGGGGATTAGGGGCTTAGGGGGGTTTAGGGGTTTAGGGGTTTCAAGTTTTGGGGCTTAGGGGTCTAGGGGAAAGGATTCAGGTGCATCTTTCCGTGGGCTCTCGCATGGCCGGATAGTTCAGGGCTCCGGGAGCATCCCCAAACTCTCGTTCTCAACCTTTCCGGCCGGATGGGGGTCTCATGATAGGCAACCCTAAACCCTAAACCCTAAACCCTAAACCCTAAACCCTAAACCCTAAACCCTAAACCCTAAACCCTAAACCCTAAACCCTGAACATGAAAGGGTCCTTAGACCCCGAAAACCACCAACCTGGGGCCCTAAATCCGAAGGCATCCCCAGTATTTCGTGCTGACCCGGCTGGCAACACTTTACAATTCGGTAAAGACGAGTACAATCAGTAATGCAGACAATATTAATCAAAGTAATAATATGTGTAGCTTCAGTTACCACAAAGGGTCCACAGATTCAAGGGCAGCCCCCCGCATGTGCCAGGCAACCCCTTGTTCTCCAAACTGCTTTGCGAGCAAGCGGTGGGTCAGATGATGCTTGGCACGGTCTAGGGTTTAGGGTTCAGGGTTCAGGGTTTAGGGCTTAGGGTTTAGGGATCCTGTAGCTGCTAGTTGGGGGTTGGGGGGTTCAGGGGTTGAGTTTAAGGTGCAAGGGCTTCAGGGTAAGGTTGAGTTGGTGGGTGAACCGAAAACCACAAGTGGGGTTTAGAGGCATCAGGTCCGCTCTACTAGACACCCTACTCCGCGACTACACTTTCCACTCTTGACCTGGTGGGGATAGGTGACAATCCGTGGGTTCTGTACAAAACTCACGAGACGCTACCCCAAGTAGGGGAATAGCACAGCATCCCACAACACAAGCCTCCAATGTAAGCCCTCAGTTCTTTGAGGGAGCCTCTTTGTTTTAACATGCATCCCGGAATTCTGAACTAATCCAATCACCAGCAAGCGTTTCTCACCCATCGGCAGCCCGCAGCCCAGGCCTGCCTTCTCCGCCGAGGATCTACTGCTGCTTGCCTGGGGCGCTGCGTCCAGTGCCCTGCCTGTAGTCGGGGCCTTCGCTCTGAGGTTTGACTTATTCCAGACCGTTTGAAAGCCCAGCTGGGGAGGTTCCGGGGCCTCCTGTAAGGGGTACTCGTAGCCCGAGCCTCAACTGCAATGCTGAAGACCTGCCCGAACCCCGAACTTTACAGGGAGTTCTGGTGGTTTTCAAAGCAACGGTTTTCACAATGCCACATGAACTCAGGCGCCCAGAACTTTGAGCTGTCGCTGCGCATCGCGCAGGACTCTGCAGCTGTGTTGGTGGGCTTGGGTCTCCTAAATCCCTAAACCTAGCAATTACGAGAGAAAAAATGATTGTACTAGTGTAGAATGTAGAATTAGGTGAAGAAATTATATGATTACATTGTCGATTTCCCCGGGAGTCACCCTGCACGTGAGGAAGAGGGCCACTTTAAACGGGCCCAAAAATAAACGGGCCCAAAAACAAGATTCTCTGGAGGAGTACACAGTTACTATACTGGTAGCTCAAAGTTTCGGGTTTCAGGTGTTGTGAGGTGAAAAATTTCCCACCCCCCCCCCCCTCCGAATGGAATCCCCCCAAGACACGGCACATCAGGGTGTATTCACCCTGAAGCCTATAAACCCTATAAACCCCATAAACCCTACAAGCCCTGGGCCTATAAACCCTTCTAAACCCGATAAAAACCCTTTAAACCCTAAACCCTGAACCCTAAACCCTAAACCCTCCTGGACCCCAGACCCCAAACCCCAAGCCCCAAAACCCAAACCCTAAACCCTAAACCCTAAACCCTAAACCCTAAACCCCAGACCCTCCAAGGGTTCCAGGAGTCCACCCGGCGCCTCAACGGCGGCCTTGCCTTTGGAGACACGCAGGCCGGTCCAAATACCAAACAAACCAGAGCGTTTAGGGTTTAGGGTTCAGGGTTTAGGGTTCAGGGTTTAGGGTTTTGGGTTTAGGGTTCGAAGGATCGTAGAGGAAATCCAGGTTTGGGGTTCAGGGTTCAGGGTGTTTTGTGTTCAGGGTCTTTTGGGTTCGTTTGGTTTAGGGCTCAACGGGTTTGTTGGGTTTAGGGGATTAGGGCTTTGGGTTCAGGCGTTCGAGGGCCGCCAATTACGCTCTAGGGTTGCGGGGTTCAGGGTTGATATAGTTTTGGGGGGGTTTTAGGGCTTCAGAGTTGTGAGGTGGGACATCGGGGGGGGGGGGGGGCAGGCAGAGGGTTCAGTAAACCCTAAACCAAAAACCCAAAACCCTGGACCCTAAACCCTAAACCCGAAACCCTAAACCCTAAACCCTAAACCCTAAACCCTAAACCCTAAACCCTTTTTGGGCTTCAGGGTCTCTATCTTGGGGGTCATCTCAGCAGCCTGAGCTCCGAGGCCTGAGACTTTTGTTTTCGAAGGACCTCTTTCCAAGGGTTGCGGGTTTAGGGTTTAGGGTTTAGGGTTTAGGGTTTAGGGTTTTAGGGTTTAGGGTTTAGGGTTTAGGGTTTATAAGGAGGGGGGAGGGTTCTGATGTCAGGCAACTCGCGACTCCGTTTGCAAGCCGAAGCCCGAAACCCCAAAACACCTGAAACCTTGAACAACTCCAAACCAAGCGAAAACCCTAAACCCTAAACCCTAAACCCTAAACCCAAAACCCAAAGCCCCCAGCTCATCCAGGTCACCTTGGGCGTCGACCCACGGATGCAGATTCAGCCTGGGGTTCGGAGGGCTTAAGGGCTTAGGACTTGGGGCCCTAAGCCCCTAGAACCAAACACCCTTTTCTTTAGAGTCTTTAGTTATGTCACCCTCCCCCCCCCCCCCCCCCACCCCACAAGACCTGAAGCCGTACCGAACAAGATGCAGGAGCCCTTGTCTGAGGTCTGAGAGCCCACAGACTCCAATCACAACAACGCCCTCAGCCCCCCTGGTGTAGGGTTTAGGGTTTTAAACCCCCAACAAACCCCCAGCAAACCCCCAAACCCCTAAACCCCAAACTCCAAACCCTAAAACCCCACAACCCCCCAAACCCCAAGCCTACCTTCGAAGCTCAGGTTTGGGCAAGCCACTTCGCTGGAGCCGCCGGTGCGGGCCTCGCAGAGGCGGCGGCTGGTGCGCTGCGGAGGCTTCGCGCTCTAGGGGTTTAAGGGTTATAGGGTTTAGGGTTTAAGGGTTATGGGGTTTTAGGGGTTGGAGATGGTTGGAGGGTTATAGGGTTTTAGGGGTTTGAGGGTTTAGGGCTTATAGGGTTTTAGGGTTTTAGGGTTTAGGGTTTTTTGGTTTTTGGGATTTAGGGTCTTCGGGCTTTAGGGCTTTAGGGCTTTAGGGGTTTAGGGTTTTAGGGTTTTAGGGTTTCAGGGTTTTAGGGTTTTAGAGTTTTAGGGTTTCAGGGTTTTAGGGTTTTAGGTTTTTAGGATTTAGGTCTTTAGGGGTTTCGGTTTTTGGGGTTTTAGGGTTTTAAGGTTTTAGGGTTTGGGGCTTTAAGGGTTTGGAATCCACTTTTGTGTGAGGGGTTTTGGCTTCATGTTGAGTATCTTGCTCTTTTGGCTACCTCGGGTTTGGGGTTTGAATATAGGGTTTCAGGATTATCAGGGCCTTCACCCCTACCGCCCGTTTGGGCACACGATCGGCCCTTTGGGTTGCCCTTAACTATCATGAATATCCAATGGAGATCCCACAGGGACGATTGAGAATGACTCCATGGCTGTTCAGGGTTCATTCTTTCATTTTGCAGGGTCGGATGTAGCCTCCTGCGTGTGTGTTTTCGCCGGCTGTGGGATTGCTAAAGCGCCACAAGTAAGAAGTGGCGAGAATGCACTTGTGAAGTCTGACCTGTCCTCCTTGTTGAGCTCACATGCCGCATTTTTCTTGAGCTCAGAATCTGAAGTTTACAAGTCCCATATCATCTCAACCATGAGGGCTAGCAGCAGCTAGCTCGACCAAGCAGCCATCCTTAATGTCGAGAACTGCAAGTGCAGGCCCTTAACCCTACTGCAGCCTCTCCCAAGCCAGAGACGGCAGCCACAACACCCCCTTAACCCAACACTCTCAAAACACCAGCTACAGAAACACCGAGACATCACCTCAGCTCAAGGCTCTTTGCAGCCTCAAGCCTAAACCCTGGGGTTTGAACCATTATTGGGGTTTCGGAACCCTGCACTCCAAATCCTACATCCTGGACCCCAAGCCCTACTTCTTGAACTGACCACGCCCTATCTCAGCGTGCTATGCAACACCATGGGCCCCGGACGCACAGCGATCCCTCCGTGGGCCCCTCCGCGAACGACTTGGGCTGCCGCTGAGCTGATCTGGCTGCAATGTCTTGCCACGGGTTTGGGGTTTAGGGTGGCCCTATGCCGCCCTAAACCTTGAACCCCCAATATGGCTTGGCTTTGTTGCGGCAGGGAGTGGGGATATGCAAGAGTGTCAGTACAAAGCCATCACCTTGCCGAAGTGTCTTATTGGATTTCGGAAGGCTTGTTGGTTAAGCGACAGGGTGGGTACTGGTTTGAAAGCAACCCACCCCAGCTTGGTTGGGTTGGCTTTGGCTGGGACGATCAAAACGAAATTTGCCCGTCTTTTGTGAATGCCATGGCGAGGCTTCGGGCCTGTGGCTTTGTTATGGCTGGGGGGGAGGGGCACGCTTTACTCGCACAGTAAGAACCCTGCAAGGCTGGAGGCTGTGGCCCCATTGCGCCTGACTCCCGTAGAGTAGAGACTCCCAGGAAAGATTTTGGGATTCTTCGGCTACAGGGTTTAGGGCCATTCTGGCATAAGCTGAAAACTTGCTACAAGCTTGGCTAAAGTTTTCGGATCTATCGGACGCTACGTTTGGGTCTTCCGAGGTAGTGGCCTCAGTGCCATTGTGGCCATTCGGGCGTCTCCAGTGCACAGCTTTTTGGAGAGCGAATCCAGCGTTCAGGCGCAGCGCCCCGAAACCCCTTGACCCTAAACCTCGCTGCCCCCACCCCTCCCGGTACCCTAATCCGATTCTCGGGAAGCAAGTTCTCCAAAATCCTTTAAACCCCAAAACCCTAAACCTTAAACCCTACAGACCCTGAAGGAACCCCCACAGCCGGCGTTCTCTGCCCGGATCTGGTTCTTTAGCCTGGGCGTGCTCCTGAATGTGCTGCTGAGTGGCGCTCTGATCCTGGGATGCACTCCCTTCCAGGATGCTCTGGTGCGGCGGTATGGCTACTCCACCTCCGATGCCCGATGATCCATTCGTAGCATTTTGCACTCAACTCTGAGGCTAAGCCGTTTATGCGGGTTAGGACGGCTAGGGTTCCTGTGACGGCTAGGGTTTCTATGTGCCAATTTTTTGTAAACCTTGGGAGAGGGTGATCTTGACACTTTTCCCTCCATGCTGATACCAAACCCTGCATCTCCGAAGATCCTCACTCCTCCAATCAGAGTCCTGCCAAGGATAGGGCCTCAGGGCCTCAGGGCTTAACACTTTCCTTTCAACCTTAAACCCCCAACCCCCTAAACCAAAACCAGGATGCTACCACCATCTGGGGCAATGGTTTTCAGATTCTGGTCATGGGCACGGCAGTGACGTCGCCCATCCTCGATGTCATTGGCCCCCGATGGTTCGCCGTCATCGGCCCCTTCCCTTCGTCAAGAGTAGCACGCAATTTGCGGCATTCGCCCATGAAACCCCAAAGCCCTGAACCCTCGAAGCCTTCAAAGCCCTACAGGTCGCCCTGAAGCATCCTAGACCCTCACATTGGGACTCCCCTCACCTTCAGCTTACAGCCTTTCAATACTTCAATACCGGCCCCCCCCCCCCCCCCCCAATAAAAGAATAAAGTAACAATAACAAAAACAAAAGCCACCTGACGGACAAGCAAAACCCTAAACCCTGAACCCTGAACCCTAAACCCTAAGGCCTTGGATCCGAATGTGCTGGGCTTGGGCTGCTGGCCCATGCGGGCTCCTACCCCTTGGAACACGGGGTGGGGATCCTGTCCTTCGCCTACGGCCTCGTGGGCTTGGGCGGGACCCAGGGCTCTCTTGAGAAGTTGGGGACGATGTGTAGGGGCTTAGGGGTCTACAGGGCTCAGGATTTGGGGGAGGTAGGCCCATCTTCATACCTTTTAAGACCACAGAAGCCGCAAGAGGAACATGCTGATGCTGGCCAGCATGCCCTTCTGCCAGCTCTTCCGACGCAGCAGCACGGCGGCGTCCATCATGATGGGCGCCTATCAGGCGCCTCGGCTGAGGACTTTAAGTTTAGGGTGAAGGGGCTTCCCTATAAACCCTATACCCTTATGAAGCCTTATAAACCCTGATAAACCCTACGCCCGAAACCCTAAACCAACCCCGTATCCTCAACTGGACCAGGCTGCTGGCTTCATGTTCATGCTGCTGACCCTGCAGGTCATGGATCCTTTGAAGTAGCAGAGGGGGGGGGAGGCTCCTGGATTCCTACTGGTTCTTCGTCGGGTATGAGTGAATGAGGTGCTCGCTGTATAGTCCCTTAAAGGGTTTATTTCGGACATAAGGTACCTAATTCCCTTGCTAAGAGCCAGTAAGGATTTCAGGGGTTGAGGAGGGCTGAGGGTTGCTTAAGGGGGTACAGCGAGGTAATTATGGTGCGCTGCGTTCAAGCCTTGCCCCTGCAAGTAGAATCACCCCAGGCCCCCCTAAAGTTGCGGGTTTTAAGTTTAACCCCCCTTCTTTGTTCTTACCACGTATCTTAGGTTCCCTGAATAAAAACCCATGCAAACCCAAAAGGCCTCCACTCTAGGTTGTTGGGGGGAATCCCCCCCTAAGACCTAGGACTTCTGGACCTTCTTTAGCACCTACCAGCTCATTGCCGGTGCGGGGCTGCTGGCGGTCTTCCTGTGTTTTCCGGACGTCCCCTACAAATCGCCCGAGGCCTTTGGGGGTTTCGGGCTCCCCACACAGCCTGAACTTCAAGCTTCAGTGGGGACGTTCAGTGTGGCCTCCGGTAGCCCTGGGTGGTTTGGGGGTGCTCGGCCCTGAGGAACCTGCAAGGTTTTCAGGATTTAGGGTTGGATTTGGGTTTTCGTGTTCGTGGCGGTCACAAGAAGCTGCAGAACTGCGACTCAGCTTTTGATTTCTTTATACTGTTCTTTCACGAATTTCCCAGGCTCTCGCAACAACCGCCCTGAGACGAAGAGGGAAGCGTGCAAATTCAAAACCCTCAGCCCGAAGCCTTCGGGCCTAAACCGTTTTTTGGGCAGAACGGTCTCACCGCAGTTTCAGATTTTTTGTGTAGAGATCCTCTTGAACTGTGAGAGATTTAAGGACGGAGGAAGACTCTGGAGGAAAGGTCTGCACAATTCCAGCGTCAATCCCCGACAGAGGATACTCCACGATGCACCTTGCCGGTGACGCCGTGCAACAGGGATGCCTGCGTGAGGCAGGCCCTTAGTGGTATCAGTGGTGCTTAGTCGCTGTGTTCGCCTTGGGAACCAGTTAAGGGTTTGCTGAGGTAAGACGTGCAGTGTAATCAAGGTCTCGGTTCATCCCTCATTTTCCTCGGATCACAAACTTCTTCTTGTTCCCAGTTCTTGTAGATTACTTCCATGAAGATGGCAAAGGCAGCATCTTGCGACATCTCCTTGTTTGGCGATGCACCCGAAACCCGAACCCCCCGAAACAGCGTGCTTGAGGCCAGAAGGCAGGGCGCTGCAGCATGCTGTTGCACCACTGCTGCTCTCGCGCACCTGGTACTTTTTGCTGTGCTTCTCCCTGGCGGCCACTGTTGCCGCATGGTGCGCGGGCGCCTTCTATGCGCAGCTGAAGGGCAACTAGGCTGCTCTGCAGGCCTGTGTCCTAAATTTGAAGCCCAAACCCACTCTCAACCCGAAATAACCCACTGCCCAAACCCTACCATAACATTATATACATGTACTGTATATATATATATACATACAGTAGTATAATAAATAAGTAAATATACATATAAATAGATAAGTATATATATATATACATATAGATAGCAAACTGTGAACCCTGCACGTCTGCACACCGCGGGCCTAGGCAAGGGCCAGGGCGCGGTGGATCCAACGATGAGGAAGTCCCTTATCTTTTGGAGCCTCGGCTTTGAAATGTTTAGGGTTTGTAGGGTTTCGGGTTTAGGGTTCGTAGGGCTTTGTGGTTGTTTGTGTTTTCTTAGCCGTTGCCTCGTGTTCGCGGCTTGGGGTTGAGGACCCAAGGTGGATATTCCCGGTTTCAAGGCCTTCAAGGGGGCATTCAGGCAAGGCCACTTTCCCCACATTCTGGACTTCAGCAGGGGGGGGGGGGGTTTCGGGTTTAGGGTTTAGGGTTTAAGGGTTAAGGGTTTAGGGTCTAGGGTTTAGGGTTTAGGGTTTAGGGTTTAGATGCTTCATCCTCAAGGGTGAAGGGGTTCAAAGAACCGCGGAGAGCCTATGGTTCGGTGGAGCTTGCCCCTCTCAAGCCCTTAACCTCAAAACCTTGAAAAGTCCGAAGGAACCCTAAACCCTAAACCCTAAACCCTAAACCCTAAACCCTAAACCCTAAACTGTGAAAATGTTCGACCTCAGGTACGCCCCTCAGCCTCGTCGAGTTGTGCTTGCCTCCTTGGTTGCAGTCGTTCGTGGGATTTCGTGTCGTCACGTCGCATGCTCATGATGCTCGCGAACTGGGTTGTGGCAGGCAGCCTCAAAGCTTGACGCAAACACGTGCAAATGTCTTTGACAGCTCCGCGGCTGTTGTCATGTTAAATGACGAGGAATGCAGTTTGGCATTGCAAACTAACGTGGGCTTTGGCTCAAGGCCTCAAGCCCCCACAACGAGTGAGAAACCGAAAGCTGCGGAAGCTGCGCTGCGCTGTGTTTTTTGGTTTGCTGCCTTTTACATGGTAGCGTGAGCCGGTTAGCATGGCACAGGAAGATGTGAGTACACCACCAGGGGCGACCCCGACGCCCAGTCTGGCTAACCCGTTTAGTCCAGGAGCACGAAGCCCACTGCAGCCGCCAGCAGCGACTCAGGCAACTAGTGGGCCACAGGTGTACCAAGTGTCTACTCCGCGAGACGATCCAACTTCAGCAGTCGGACCGACGGTGGCAACCAGTGACTTGTCTGCTGTCATGGGAATGATGGCACAAACGCTGCAAGCAGTGCAAGCACAGACGCAGGCAGTGACGCAGTTGGTCAGCGTCATAGCAAGTCAGCAGCAGCAGCAGCAGCAACAGCAGCCGCCACTGCCACCAGTGGCAGCAGGAAGCACGCAGTCTCCAGAAGGTACACAAGGCTTGGTGAGGACTCCAGCGGTCAGCAGTGACAGTGCTGCCGGTCGTCCGTTGGATCCCAGATGGATCCCCAGCGTGCCGGAAGCCCAGTTCACCTCCTGGCGAACTAGAGTGGAGGAGATCACGGGCTTTTGGGCATGGTGTGAGGCTTTCGGAGCGTGGTTGGCGCTCATCCACCCTTCCTTTGTCGGAGAGCTCCGAGAGGTGCTTACTAGAAGCATGCCTCTGTCAGACGCCGAGCTGAGCGGTGACCAGTGGGCTAGAGCCCAAAGGCTGTACCACTTGGTCAAGCAGACGTTCCAAGGATGCCAGCGTGTCGAAGGCATCTTTGGTGTGTACGAAGCACAGGCTGGGGTGGGCGCTTGCAATGGCTACGAGTTGATGCGGTTGCTGAGACAAGAGTACTCGTTGCAGACTCGGTCAGAAGCCCTGCATTTCAGAAATGCGGTACTTCAGTTCCGCGTGGTGAAGCCAGACAACCTCGTGGACCGGCTCAGGCAGATCGACGCGAAAGTCTTTCAGTACCAGCAGTTGCTTAGAACTTTTCCTTTCCCTGCTCAGGTGAGAGACCTGCAGGTGATGGAAAGCGACTTGTACATCCTCATGTTGCAGAATCTTCCAGATCCCGTGCGTGAGTTCGCGCAGCTACATGGAGGAGAGTCTGTAGCTGAAGTCCGTAAGGCCGTGTTGTTGTACCACAACAGGACGTGCTTGGTGGGTGACGTTGGTCGTGTGCAAGAGCTGACGACCAGACCACCAAAAGGTCACGGCAGGGGCAGAGGAAGCGACAAAGACAGTTCTGCAGCTGAGGATGGCCCGCCTTCTGGCGGGAAGGCTGGTGGCAAGGGAGACAGCAAAGGTAAAGGGAAAGGCAAAGGAAGCAAGACCAGGTCCACGTCGCAGGAAGGCAGTGGCAACAAGGGCATTGTCTGCTGGGAGTGTGGCAAGCCTGGGCACGTCGCCAAGGAGTGTGCCAACAAGCGCTCTCAGTCTGCTGGCCGAGAGCGGAAAAAGGACATAGTCTGCCACCGTTGTGGCAAGCCTGGCCACGTGAAACGGGACTGCCGAGTGAGATTGGCTGCGTTAGGCTCAGAACAGGCTGGTCCTGACAATGACCCAGCCGGTGAGGAGGCCAAGGTCGTCATGACGTTGAGTTCTCATGTACAGAGGGCTGTAGAGTCTACTGTAGAGAGTGTGAGTGTCGTGCGCACTTCGCCGGAGGCAGAGTGGCTTGTGGATAGCGGGGCCACGTCTCACATCGTTTCTCGTCAGTTCCTGTCATGCTACAGTGTTGCTCATAGCTATGAGGGTTTGTCGTGTGAGCTTAGGGCCGCAAACGGAGCGCTTATAGAGACCTTTGGCATCGTGGATGTCGAAGTCAAGTTTTCTTGCAAGAGCAGAGGCAAGCCACTCACCAGAACGTTTGTGTTGTCGAGGTGCATAGTCGCGGATACACCCCTGAACGTCATGTCGCCGTTTGTGTTGTACAAAAACGGTTGGCGCACAGTTCTTGCAGATGAGAAGGCGTCCTGTCTGCACTATCGCAGAGACCTCAAAGTTGGGTTGGTTGTGAAGGACCGTGCTTGGTGGACTGTTGCTCGTTTGCCTTCAGCCCAGAGCAAGAAGGGAGACTCTCAAGCTGAAGCCCCGTGCGGGCCTCAGCCTATGGACCTGAGCGCTCTGACTGCTGGCATGTCACCGTCCCAAGTTGCTCCACAAGTCGTTGAGGCAGGTCGTTTAACTTTCTTGCTGCGGGGTCTTGGAGACACGCCGCGCGTTGAGGACAAAGGCCGGCGACGTGTTAGCTTTCAGGAGCCTACTGCTGTTGAGGCCCAGCCGACGGAGGTTGTTGAAAACTCGTCAAGTGAAGCGTGTGGGTCCCGTAGTGCTGTTGGCTTGAGTGTTCCTTCGTTGAGCGCGGTGCGTGGGAATCGCGAGGGTGTCAGTGTTGACGAGCGTGTGGACCTTGAAGAGTTGGTGTGTGCAGGTGAGGACTCTGTGTTGAGCGAGCCTGTGGACCATCCCATTCCGAGCCTTGAAGAGGGGGAGGCGATCGCCGCCGAGGATCCCACTGATCCGCTAGACCCGTCAGAAGTTGAACTTGGCGCTGGTGGTACTTACCAGCACGTGGCCCAGGGCCATTTCCCTTTTCTTGCTTCGTGCACTTCGTGTTGCAGGGCATCCGGGCGAGTTCCGGCGCGTAGGCTTCGTCACACCCGTGGGAAGTGTGAGCTTGCAGCGGACTTTTGTTTCTTCGGCAGGGTTCGGTTGCTGGTCATGGTAGTACTGTACACGGGTATGATCGCCTCTTGTGTGATGGATGGGTCGGACCATGACCGAAATGTGAGACAAGTCAACCAAATGTGGCGAGAGCTTGGCATGACGGGCCGGACGCTTGAGACTACCATTGACGGTGAAGGCTTGCTACATGCAGTGTTCCGCGCAGCCGCCCGCCAGCCAAACACGCCAGTGACAGGAGTGAGCTTTCTTGACGTTCCGCCTGACCGTCACCAAGCAAACGGTAGAGCGGAACGAGCAGTTCAAACTGTCAAGCGTGGCGTGGCGGCCAACTTGTTGTTTCTGGAAAGCAGGTTCAGGAAGCGAATAGCTTTAGAATCACCGCTTTTGAAGCACTTGGTCCCATATGTTGCCCGCACGCACAACATTTTCCATGTTCCTCAAGCATCAGACACCAGTGCTTTTGACAAGCTTCGTGGTAGACGCGGAGGACCGAAACCTGCCACACTTCCTTTTGGGGTCCTTGCCCTAGCTAAGGCCACTGAAAGCGCACGCGTGCACGACTTGGAGCAGCTAAGTGAAATCGTGTATCTGGGTCCTGTTTCCACTTCCGGTGGAGGGATGCTTGGCATCATGGCAGGGGACTCGAGAGTCGGACTTTCTCATGAGGAGGCAGTCAAAGTTCGCAAGTTTCAAGCAGGGCGCATTGTGTCTCCTTGCGTTTGGAGTTGGGAAGATGTGCAGCATCTAGTTGTATCTTCAGACGCCGTGCCGGGGCAGCAATTCCCCGCAGGCCCTGTCAGCGAGGTGCGGCCGGGTGCCGATGACGAGCAATCGCCTGCTGAAGCGGATGCTCCTCCTGGTTTGGAAGGGGGTGTGGTAGTTCCAGCCTCGGGGCCCCCTAAGAAGTGGTTGTTGGAGAATGGCTTCACCCCAGGCTGTTCGGCGTGTGGGCACATCTCAACAAGTGGTGTGTCTCATGGGAGGGTTCATAACTCAGACTGCCGCAAGCGATACCGCAAGTATCTTGAAAATGAAGCCCAGGCCCGCAGGAAGCGAAAATCTGAGCAGGATACTTCCGAAAGTAGTGGTTCTGGGGCAGCGCAGCCAGTGCCTCGAAGGGTTACCGGTAAGCAGCCGCCTGTTTCGGATAGCACTAGTGTGCCCAGCATCCCTGCTCAGGCTGAGCCTCCTTTCTCTGTAGATGCTTCCCCTAGTCTTAGTTCTCCAGATCCTGGCGCTGTGGGGCCTAGCCTCCCCGGAACATCTAGTGACGCGGATGTAGAGATGAGCCCTCCGGAGCCTGTCCCTGAACCCATGGAGGTAGATGCTTTGATCGACCATGTCACATGCGAAGCTGAAAATTTGTTTTTCTTGCGAGATGTCAATTTTCGTCAAGTCGAGGATGTTGTTTGGTTTGAGTCGCAGTGCCTAGGGAAGAAGATCTGGCAGTCAATGCCCAGAAAGCCTGTTTGCGAAGCTACTGGTAGACCTCTGGACGTGGAACAGTTAAAGAAGGGTCTGATTCGGGAGCACGAGCAGCTGACAAAACTGAAGGTTGGTTTTTGGGTCACGGAAACCGAAGCCAAACAAGGAAGCCGACGGGCTGGGAGCAGACTTTTGGGAACTCGTTGGGTTCTTGTTCAAAAGCCAGAAAAGGTGCGCGCTCGTTTGGTTTGCAAGGACTTCAGGTCAGCAGGGCTGTCAAGTTTCCGGGAAGAGTTTTACAGTCCAACAGCGGGGCTAGAGTCGCTTAGGCTGTTGCTTGCGTTAGCTCACCAGAAGCAGTGGTTCATGTGCACAGCAGATGTGTCGACCGCATTCATGTTTGCTAGTCTAGGCGACTCGTATCAAGCCGTAGCTTTGCCACCCAGTACAGTTGGTCCAGCAAGGGAACGCCTTTTTCTGGTGCTACAAAAGGCCTTGTACGGCCTACGAAAGGCCCCTCTTTTCTGGTTCAAAGAGCTCAAAGCTGCTTTGCTGTCCCTTGGCTTTACTCCCACATCGGAACCAACCGTTTTTCGTTTTGCAGGGGAGGGCGGTGAGTGCATTTGCCTTGTGTTGATTTATGTGGATGACTTGTTAGCAGTTGGCAAGCAGGCAACGTGCAGATGGGCTCTGAGAGAGCTTGGCCGAAAGTACGAGATCAAAATCACGGGAGAAATGAGTCCTGAGACCCCCGGGCATTTGGAGTTCTTGGGCCGGGAAATTCGTCGTGAAACTGCAAGTGGGCCACTCTTTCTTGGTCTAGCGCCTTCCTACTTTGACGGGATTGAAGAGGCAAGTGGCTGTAGTTTAAAGGCAACGCCAACACCGCCAGCATTGCACAAGTACGTTGACGAAAACGGGGTTGACAAGCAACTCGAGGCCGACCGTGCTGGGCAGTTCCGTACCGTATTGGGCAAGCTAGCATGGTTTTCGTTGACCGTCCCAGTCCTTGCGTATCAGATCAGTTGGTGTTCGTCCTACCAACAGAGTCCCACTGAAATGAGCGAGCAGGGCCTCAAAGAAGTCCTCAAGTACGCTAAGAGTTTCCGTCGTTATAGGCAAGGTTTTGGGGTGGATGGGTGCCTAGAGTGGGCGCCGAGTGGCAAGCAGATCAATGCTGTCGTGGATGCCAGTTGGTCCGTACGCAGCGTAATGGGAGGGATTGTCTTGTGTTGCGGTGCCGCCATCAAAGTCTGGAGTCGACGCATCCAGACGGCATGCCTTAGCAGTGCGGAGGCCGAACTTCATGCTATCGCTGAAGGGTGTAAAGAAAGTTTGGCGGTAGGCATCGCTTTGCAAACTTTTTTGGAAGGGCTCCCCAAGCGTGACTGGCTAGGAATCCCTGAAACCACGCGTGGCAACTACCCACTGTTACTGTACACAGACAGCGAATCGGGCCAGCACATTTCAAACATGCAAGGCTTGCTACGTCGCATCAAGCATGTGGAGTTGAGGGCGTTGTTGGTGCAAGAGCTTACTGAGAGCGGACGTCTCAAAGTGTATTTTGTAGCGGGGTCTGCCAACCCGTCAGATGCACTCACAAAGTCCAGCGACAAGCACCATGCGTTGCTCTTGATCCTTGCTCTTGGAATGTCGGAAGGGGACTTGGATGCTCAGATTGCTTCTTGGGCGGATCAAGTCGTGAGCGTACTCGGCCCGGTCAGTCCGCAAAACAGGCGGCGCATCACCGAAGGCATTCAGAGAGGCTTGGCTCGCGTTGTCCCGCGTTCCTCTGTACGCTTGTCGCATGATCCAGTGTTGCAGTGAGACACCTTGAATGTGAGGACTTGGCTTGTCTTGGTGCGCCCAGTTGGTCGGTTGGAGCTCTGCATGAGTCGAACTTTCGCCTGTTGACTCGGCATCGGGGCGAGAGGGGGTGTGAAAATGTTCGACCTCAGGTACGCCCCTCAGCCTCGTCGAGTTGTGCTTGCCTCCTTGGTTGCAGTCGTTCGTGGGATTTCGTGTCGTCACGTCGCATGCTCATGATGCTCGCGAACTGGGTTGTGGCAGGCAGCCTCAAAGCTTGACGCAAACACGTGCAAATGTCTTTGACAGCTCCGCGGCTGTTGTCATGTTAAATGACGAGGAATGCAGTTTGGCATTGCAAACTAACGTGGGCTTTGGCTCAAGGCCTCAAGCCCCCACAACGAGTGAGAAACCGAAAGCTGCGGAAGCTGCGCTGCGCTGTGTTTTTTGGTTTGCTGCCTTTTACATAAACCCTAAACCCTAAACCCTAAACCCTAAACCCTAAACCCTAAACCCTAAACCCTAAACCCTAAACCCTAAACCCTAAACCCTAAACCCTAAACCCTAAACCCTAAACCCCAACCGCCCTCCTCGCAGCTCCAGGATGCCCCTGGCCTCCAACTCCACGTTTCTCTTCACTCCCCTCATCGGCGCCCTCATGGATGCCCGGGGCTTCTGGGGCCAAAGTTGGGTTTAGGGTTTAGGGTTTAGGGTTTAGGGTTTAGGGTTTAGGGTTTAGGGTTTAGGGTTTAGGGTTTAGGGTTTAGGAAGGACTGTTAGCAGAAGGGGGACCATCCCAAGGTTTAGGGGTTGAGGGGTTCTGGGCTGCAGGGCTTAAGGGGCTTGAGCGTTAAGACTACAAGGCTCTAAGAGTCCTTGTTTGAAAAGCTGGGCCTCTTTCTTTTCTAATATCCGGCTTTTCATTGGCACTCTTGTTCAAGGGCCCAAGCTAGGAACAGCCCGCAGGTGCCGATGTTTCGGGGTCTTCGGGCTCCGGTTCCGGTTCGACCTGCGCTCCCTCCCTCTCTCTGTCACTCTCTCTGTCTTTATGTCTCTCGGTCGCCCTTTCTCGATACGTTTTATGCACAAATGTAAAGAAAACGTACACACAATGCACAAAGGACACGCACAACGCCCCAGCTCACTAAGCCTCCATGGCTCCGAATCCCAAGCCCCGAAGTTGCTAAGTCGCTTCTTCGCCTTCTCTGACAGCCGACCTCAGTTCTTGACGAAACATTCGGCTTTCGAAGAGTCAGGGGTTCCTGTTTTGACATCTTCCTACCAGTGCCCTGTACTCTGTAGATTGTAAACCCATGGAACCGCACGTCCCCTCAGGCTACGGTGCGTTGGAGCTTTGAGGTAGTTGCCGTGTTCCTCCGAAGCTGCAGCACCCAGAATCCTGTGATTGGTTCAACTCCGTTTCGAAGTCTAAACTTCCTGAAGGCCTAAAACACTACTTTCGCGGAAAGAGAAGCGCACATCTAAGGCTTCTGCCCAGCCATCATCCTGTGCCTAGACTGGGGGTCAGTGCTGGAGGGAGTAAGTTGCGTTCAAAGTTTGGCACCGTGTCGGGAGTGGACGGTTCAGGGTTCGGGTCCTGTGCATGGAGGTGTTCTGCAGTGGAGGCCCAGCGTGCTGCTAGAAGAACTTTCGGACAATCAGTTGGTTGTGGAGAATCACCCAACTTTTTTGTTGCCAAACACGTCTTTAACGTTCATCTTCTGTGACCCTCCTTCCTGTCGCACCGCTTTTTCCCAGAAGAAACCCGCATGAAGCCCAAAAGGGGACTCTCAAAACTCTTGCTCGTGCTGGTCCTGGGTGCCTCTGCAAGCTGGCTGTTGCAGTCTTCAGGGCTCCGGGTTGAGGCTTCCGGAGCCCTAAACCATCAAGCCCGAAACCCCAATCCTCAAGCCAAAGCCATCCTCCCAAACCACTGTAAGCCCGAGGCCTTGTGTTGTTTCCCCCTTATACTACCCGTCCTTAATCCGGATTCTAGTACCCCCTCTTAGAATCCCTATGAAGGACTGCTAGTATAGGGGGGAACACTCCCAATCCCCTACTAAGAACTGCTAGTATAGGGGGAAGGCAGGGAGGAATCGGCGCCCGAGGCTATGCCTTGCAAGCGTGAGTTGCGTCGCCACTGTGTGGCTGCTGCCGCTGACGTGGCAGTGGCTGACACTGCTTACCCTGTGCCTGGGATTCCCGAAGCCTAGGAAGCCCTATGAAGCCCAATAAAGGCCCCTTTTTGCTTCCTGGGTGTTCCCTGTGCCCACCATTGCACCATGAAAGTCCCTCCCCATCCACTCCTAGGCAGAGGGGACTACACATAGCTATCATAGCTACACCATTTCTGAGACCGAATGTCTGAGACTAGCGATAAGGAATACACTTTTACGGGGGACGCCATAAAAAGGGGCCCACAAGCCAGACCGATCCTTCCATGACCGCTGTCGCACGGGCGATCTCAGGGCCGAAGAAGTGTGTCCAAGCAAGGTGTGTAAAGTGACTTTGAGCTGAGGGTCATATGCACCCCGCACTCCCAAACTTGCAAGTTCTCAGCAGCCCTACATCCCCGTTAAAAATTTAGGTTTTCTTGGTTGCAAAGTGCATCCTCCTGAGGTTACGCTTCACAGCGTTGCAGCCACTAGGAGGTTCTTGGGAAGGGGGGGGGGTCCAAGGGCCCTTCGTATTTGCAACCTGAGACAAGGAATTGGCTGCTGGCTGTGACCTATTCACTCCAACTGAGCTACATCACCTGCAAGTACGCCGCGGATCAGTTTGGTGCGGCCACTGAGTCCATTGAAGCACGGCTTTCTTTTTCAAGGGCAAGGCCCCTCTAAGATTTCTGCCGGAATAAGGGTTTAGGGTTTAGGGGTGTTCAAATGCAGAATCTCGAAAAGGGGACGAGGACGCATGAGGTCGCAGCAGTTTGCTTCTCAACCTCTAGCACTTTGAGAGGTGACTCAGGTGCTAGGGCTTTGGCTTCAGGGCTTTGTTGCTTTCTTGAGGGGGCACAGGAATGCTTCAGGGCTCTCTCGGGTTGGGGTTGGGGTCTCCGGTGTAGATGACTTCAGGTGATGTCGTACAGCACCATCATGCAGAGCGTCATCAACGTGGCCGGGCGGCAGACTTGGTACTCGCTTGAAAACGCGACATGATTTTGTCTGCCTTTCAGCTATAGACTTCGTTCCGAGAAAGCCCTAGACCTTAAACCGCTTCAAACCCAAAACGCTTTGAACCCTAAACCTTAAAATCCCTGACCCTCTTAGTTTGAGAGCAAGGGGGGTTTTGGGAGTTGCGGGATAGCCTCCATGCCCTCAGGCCCATAGCTGCTTCCCTCCAAACCCTCACGCCCCTAAACTCTGAGGGGTGCTTGAGCACCCTAGTTTTAGAGTTTGACCCTAACCTGCTTGCGAAGTAAGAAGGAAAGCGTAATGTCCCTTATAGGAAGCCGTCTTGGGCCTCAAAAGCCAGAGCAAGCACATCTGAGTTGCTTGGCGTGTACCTGCTGCGCTGCCCACCCTCGCGTGCTGCAGTGGCTCAGCTACATTGAGTGTCCTGAACCGAAAGCGCTCATTAAACCCGAAGCAGTAAGGCGCTGTACAGTGGCCGAAGTAGGTCATAAGGGTACCTCCAAGCACACTCTGTATACGGTGGTCATGATTTGAGGGGCGCCTTGAGGCTTCAACCGTTTCTTGAGGCTCTCGGAGGCTCGACTTGAATCGAGCGTTTGCAGCTTTACGCTAACTATGAAAGTGGGGAGTCTTAAAACATGTCCAGGATTCCTACGCTATACACACCACATTCCTTTTTTGGGGGGTTCCCCCCCATACTCTCGCCTGAAGTCCTGCTCGGGTTCAAACCGGCCTCTGGTGTGGACCAATCCCCCAGAAAATCAGTCCCTGGTAGCCTCAGGTTTCGCCTTCAGGGTTGCAGCGTTTAAGGAGTTTAAGGCCCAAAGCCCCACTTGCTCGCAGCTGAGGCTTGCTTCGTGCCCCCCTGCGTCTTTTTCTGCTTTCTGTGGGCCCGAGAAGAGCGGCGGAGAGGGGGCTGCTAGCGCTAGGAAGGTGGTTAGGGTTTAGGGTTTAGGGTTTAGGGTTCAGGGTTTAGGGTTTCTAAGCCAAGCCCCGAATCGCAAGCCGCTTGCACAGACCTCCTGGAACCGTGCTGGTAAAAATAGCCAGTTACTCCGCCCGAGGCGTCCGCCGGCTAGGGATTACAAAAAGATGCATCGCACAGACAACATCGGGGTTCTGGGAGTTGAGCTGAGCTCGACTTGCTCACTACATCCAAGCTCGCTCGTTCTTACCAGCAGTATGGAGCTCGGCAATCAGGATCCCTCTATTGTAGGGGATCAAAGGGACCCAGACTCCCTCCTTATGAAGAACCAGCAAGTGAACCCTTCTAAAGTCTGAATGAGAGGAGGGCTAAGCATGTGGACGGGCTCCTTGGAATTTCATGGGTTAACTATATGTAGGGACAGCAGTATGGTGGCTCTACTTTTCACTATATCAGGGTCCTTCTGACCCTAAACCCCAAACCCTAAACCCTAAACCCTACTTGTAAGTCGCCATGGAACCTCGAACCCAGAAGCCCCAAAACCTCCCAGACCCCTGAGCGAAGGACGGTCAATTTTGGGGCCCGGCCTCATTTTTGAGGTCCCTACCGACAATATGTATACATATGTATGTATATGTATATATATATATATGTATAGACATAACTGGATGCAACTATACATATATAAACATGCTACATATACATATACAGATACAGATACAGATACCACAATATCTATAAACATATATATGTTTATATATATATATATATGTATATGTATATGTATACATATATATATATATATACACATACGCATGTCCAACAAATTCCCCAGCCACCCAAGAGAGGGGCGTGAAACCTTGAGAACGTCCCTATCTAGCCCATGGCACACCCTGACAGGTCCTCGGCGCGGCGCGAGGGCCCTGTGGGGGAGATCGGGGACAAGGCCGCGAATGTGGTTTTTTGGGGCTCAGGAGGCATTTCGGGGTAAGCCTTTGGGATATGTCATGTTTTCCCTTATTGGGTTTAAGAGGATCATATTCAGTTTTTTTTTCTCAGAGGGTTTTAAGGGCAGTCGTAGAATTATTGGGTTGTCGGGGTTCGGGTAGGATGTCCAGGAGGCCAGGACCACCAGGGCCCTTCAGGGCAAGGTCTTCAACATCAAGGTCTTGCACCACAGCTTTGTATGGTCGCGCGCTTGAGTTGTCCCCCTCCACCCAGCCTTTTCTGCAAGACGTCGGGTTGAAGGATCGGGGAGCATGTGCCCCTCCATGCTCATTGGGTCTCATCAGGTGTTTGGGTTCAAGTGCTCAACCCCATGAAGCCTATGAACATCTGCAGACCGTTAAAACTTGCAGAAGCACTGCAACTATAAGCCCCGCACATTGAAAAAATTTCCCACCCTAAGTCAGCACAACTAAGCCCAAAACCTTTGCAAGCTGCACGTGAGGGTAATCCACCCACCCACCCACCCCCCCCCCTCCCACACGAACTGAGCCTGCTCAGCTTGGCCTGCGCTGGTCACAGACGCTTGCAGCTGGCAGCGACCCAACGCCACTGGGCGGCCATCGAACCCAGAAGTGCGACTGGAGGTCCTAAAGCACCCATAGTTTTTTAAGGGGGGTTACCCTACACATGGCGGACTGCAGTCTAATCGAACCCTAAACCCCAAGCCCCAAGCCCCCTGAACCCAACCGGAAGGCTTTACGGGGTTTTAGGCATCTGCCGTTTGGGGGATTCGGGCGGGGATGTGTTACAGGGCCTTTAGGAAACATGTTTTTGAAATCTCTTCGCTTAAAAACATCAAATCCCTCAAGGGTGGTGCCCCAAACCCTAAGCCCCAAACCCTAAACCCAGGCCCTGAACCCCAAGCCCTAAGCCCCAAGATTGGGATGCTCTTTCGGATACTAGCAGTTCTTAATACCCCCGATCAGAATCCCTATCAGGGACTGTTCGCATAAGGGGGAACATCCCAAACCCCAAGCCCCTAAGCCTAAAGCCTCCTTAAGGAGCTCCTAAGCACGCTGAGCCCAACGGGTTTAGGGTTTAGGGTTTAGGGTTTAGGGTTTAGGGTTTAGGGTTTAGGGTTTAGGGTTTAGGGCTGTTTTGGCAGGCTTCTCCACATGGGGTCCTTGATAGCCGTCGCCAAGCCAGCCGGCTGGGAGGCGAGAGACTTTTGTTGGTGTGGGCTTTAGGGTTTGGGGTTTAGGGTTTGGGGTTTAGGGTTTAGGGCTTAGGGCTTAGGGCTTAGGGTTTGGGAGGGGGGGGGGGGGGGGGGGGGGACGGCGGGGGGCCCAGGGACGGCCTCAGGTCTGGGACCCTGGGCCCCCGAGCCAAGCCGACACTGGCGTGTACAGGGGGTTTGCATAGGGTTTAGGGTTTAGGGTTTAAGGTTTAGGGTTTAGGGTTTAGGTTTTAGGGTTTACGGTGTCCAATGCCCCTTCGGCATGCACAGAGGACTTTTTCATGGTGCAGGGGTTTCTGTGGCCCACAAGGCAGTCGTTCCCAACATGCCCAACATGCCTGAAGCGTCAACTTTGTGGAGCCCTTTGTGATGCAGAGGTGTGGGGCGGCCACCACCCACAACAGCTGTGGCAGCACCTACAGGCCCAGAGGGAGTGTGCAGGCCTTCGTGGCAAAAAAACAGTTTAGGGTTCCTACACCCTAAGCCCTGTACCCTAAGGAGCCTTTAGGGTTTGAAGCTTAAAGTTTCTTTGTGGTTTCGGAAGCTGCTGAGGGCCCCCCCCCCCCCCTGCTAGAGCCCTCTGTGCAAGCCCTGACCATGCAAGGCCTGAGCCCTAGGCATCCTCAACCCACAGCCTCAACGCCTGAATCTCAGGGTACTTACATGGGCCCTTCATATGGTCCCTTACCTCTCCTTGAAGGGTTCCCAAGTATGGGCCCTTGACTTATACAGGGCACATAAGGGGTATGTTAGGGGCCCCCTTTTCAGGGCCCATACTAAGGGGCCATGAAACTATCCTTAGACCAAAGCTTGAAGACCGGAACTCCTGAATCCTCGTCAACACCTAACCCTTAAGGACATCCCTGAATCCTGGTTCGCCCCCTGAACTCCTGGATTCCTGTAGGTCATCGTCCGAAGCGCCTGCAGGGGTTGTGGCCAGAAGTACACCCCAGTTGGGACACTTAACTCTCGGGCCGTTTTGAAGTCTCCGGGCGTAGGGCTGAGAGTCGCAAAAGCCCGGACCCCTCAACATCAAACCTTGGCACATCCCCCCTAAACCTGAAGACCCGAAACCTCCAACTTTTTCCTTGGCCAGGCTGCGAAGGGTCTTGAGCACAGCATCCTCCGAGACCCCGAGCATGAACACGGCCGGGCTCAAAAAGGGGGGGGGGGGTTTAGGGTGCCAGCTTTCGGATGCTTCGATTTTCCGGGTTTGGAATGTATGGCTTCATGTATTGTGTTTTTTTTGCAGCGCGAAGGCGTAGGCTGAAGTCGGGTTTCCGGGCGGGTTGCGCCCGAAATTGCAAGCCTTCAGCCCTCAAACCCTTAAAACCCTTAAGGCCCTTAAACCCTTAATCGCCATGAAATCACATGGGGTTGCAGCTAACCCCTGAGAAAAGCTTCCTGCACCTCAAACCCCCGACCGTCCCACAGAACCCACACACTTGAGGGAACCCGGGGTTTAGGGTATAGGGTTTAGGGTTTAGGATTTAGGGTTTAGGGTTGAGGGATGCACTCTCCTAGCATCCGAAGACCGCCCTCATTGGGATGTTCCCCCTTATACTAACAGTCCTTACAAGGGGTTAGAGTACCCACCTACTGTAATCCCTATGCAGGACTGTAAGTATAAGGGGGAACATCCCAACATAAACACGTACTGTCCCTGCGCACCGCGCCTACACATGGAAAGTAAGCATTGACCATGTGGGTGTTTGAGGTGGGTTGTCATTCTTTCCAGATCATGTCGATTGAATTGCCATTGGTCTCTCGAGCTGTTCCGATACCGAGAACTCCAGAAAACCTCCCCACCCGTCGTGGGGACAAGCTCTCACTCATGCCTTCCGCGATTACCTCCACGTTCTTTTTGATAATCTTCGCTCTGAAGCGGAGCGCCGCCATCTCCCTGCGGCTCCACGACAATCGCACCTCCACGGGTGCCCTCAGCATCGGGCCAGAGCGTTGCCGACGCAAGCGCAAACATGATGCCGCCATCATCTACCTCGCTGCACCGCCCGAGGGCCCTGACTGGGAGAACTTGCAAAAATCCTTGTCGAAATTGAAGCGCCTGAAGGACAACGGCAGAGCCGAGGTCAGGGTGTTTTACGATCGTGAGGACACCTGGTCTGAGGAGCAGTTGCAAACGGTCTTGCAGAAGGCTGCCCCGAGGGACGCTTGCGTCGTGCCAATCCAGTTCCGCACGCTGCCGCGCGACCTGGAGGGCACGGAGCCGAAGTGGCAGAAGCGGAGCCCTTGGGGCTACCAGCACATGTGCCGCTTCTTCTTCGCCGACATCTTCCAGATTCCGGATTTGCAGAAATACACTTACTGGATGCGCATGGACACAGACTCCTACTTGTCGACGGATGCTGACATCGATCCCTTCAAGGCGATGGACGCGAACCGTAACCTGGTGTACTTGCACAACCAGGACAGCAAAGATTGCGGGGATGTCGCAGAGGGCCTGCATGACCTCGTCACGGAGTATTACAAGAAGGTGCACAGCAACGGCCAAGCTAGTGCATCCGTCCTTTCGGCAAACCCACACGCAATCACCTTGGACCACATACTTCCTTTGGGAAAGGGTTGTGTGAGGGGCTACTACAACAACATCGAGATCGGCAGGTTGTCGGCCTTCCGCAGCGCACCGATGATTGCCTGGCGTGATGCGGTGCTGGGCTCCAAGGGCATCTACTTGCACCGTTGGGGCGATGCCTTGCTCAGGCGGCTCTCGATCGAGTTGACAGGTGCCGAGACCGAGCCCCTGCCAAAGGAACTCCTGCAAGCCTACCGTCACGCGCGTTGAGCAGCCGTGGTCGCACTTTGACAGCGGCACTGTTCCTGCAGATTCCTGCAGTATCTGCCTCCCGCGCTGGTGTTTTTTCAGCTCACCCCCCAGGTTACACACACCTGCAAACTTGGCAAAGTCCATTTTGGGGTTCAGTGACATTCGACGACGCATGCTCTGTTTGTGCTCATCCTACTGCAGATGGGGCTCTTCTCTGACCATTTAAAGTCATCCCGGCCTCAGGAATCAAGATCAGCGTTTTTGGGCTTGGATGCAGGTTTCGTGCACCGCCTGGATGTGCCATCTAGCGGCCTGGTGCTCTGCGCTTGCAGCTGCAAGGCGCACGGATGCCCCCAGCCTGAAGGCTTTCAAGGTTTTCAGGCGGTTTGGGATTTGACTAGCTGGGGATTACAGGGTGCAAGTGTTAAGAGCTTGGTAGCCTCTAGCTTTTGGCTTTTCATCTGCAAACGGTTTGTTCCTGGTCCTACCATGCAAGGCTGGCTGTCCGCTGAACGCAGCCGTAAACCCACGAGACTCGGGACCCTGAACCATGGAAATATCATATCCTTGAACCACAAATCCTATACAAGTCCTAAATAGGAACATTGATCTTGGCCGAAGAAAGCTCGCACGTGCCTAGAATCTGCAAATGCTGTAGCCGCCAAGGGAACGCTCAACAGAGGGGCCCTCGCGCAAAGCGTACGGGTCAGGGTTTAGCTTTGCGGGCCAGCATCGCAAGATAAGCTGCCAAGAGCCTCGACAGCAAAGCCGCAAAGTTTCGACAGCGACCCGTACAGCTCCACCCAAAAGCAGGCCTACTTTGATCTGAAGCTGCAGCTAGCGCTTGGTCAGCTCCATCGGTGTTATGCCGTGCCGCTGGAGCTGCACTACATGGGCTTTGCAGGGTCGGGAACAGTTGGGTTGATGGCTTGAGCTTTCATGGTTCCTTAGTAGGACCTTTGGATCCATTCTACATATCCTCTGGGGTTTCAGAGAATCTTCGTTATAGTTTATAGTATGCCTGAGAGGAATTTAATGAACCAGTAAGATGATCCGCTCCTCCACTCCCCCTTCAGAGCCAGTGCGTCCCATAGAGAGCCCCCCAGGTCTCAGGGCAGTTCAGGCGGCGGTAGTGTTCAGGGTTCAGAGCTTCAGGTTTAGGGCTTCGGGCTTGAAAAGGGTTTATGTATAGGGTTGTTCAGGGTTTAGAGTTGAAGGTTGAGGGTTTAGGGCGTTGACGCTCCTGGCCTCCTTTTGCTCCTTTGAGTGTGGCACCTGCTCACGACCCAGGCTGAGCCACGGACTGGCGACCTCGCGGAATGTCACCGCCCACGTGCACTGGAAGGACTTTTCCTAAGACGGAAGACTCAGCCTACACCACAGACCTCATAGGTGGGTTGATCTAAACTGTGGAGCCTGGAGCCTTTTTGCACAGTACCCGAAGCTTGTACAATTTAGATCAACCCCATGTCTTCAACCCTGCAACCACGTCCCGGAGATCTTCATCTCTGGCAGAGCCAGTAGAGATCCCCAGGTTCAGGGTTCACCTCTGGTTCTTAGTAGGGAATGAGGGAAGTCGGGCTCCATGTATACCCTTCCAGGGATTACATAGGGTACCTCATTCCTTGATTCCCTATACTCAGAACCAGCCAGTTCAGGACCGTGGCGCCCAACGTCAGCTCCCGACGGTGTCTGGGGGCCGAGGCAAGCCATGTGGCCACCTGGAGGAATTGTTTGGTGGGTTTGGGGGCTTCCTAAACCCTACAACCCTAAGAACCCTAAAATCCAAACCCCAAGACCTCCAAACCCTAGACCCCAAAACTCTAAATGCCTTAAACCCCTAAACCCTATGGCGTTGAGTAACCCTATCACTAAACCCGAAACCCTGAACCCTGAACCCTATGCCGCAGTTCATTGTAGCAGCATTGGGTATGAAGGGGGACCGGGCCTCGGGTCCTTCACAACTCACTGGTGCTTGGGGGTTCTGAACTGTTTGGAGTTCGGAAACCCTAAACCCTAAACCCTGAACCCTGAACCCTAAACCCTAAAGAACGTGTGGGTCTTCAGCTTGCCCAGTAGCGGCCACGAGCAGCATCGTCGCAGCCACTCTCCAGAACCCAGGTGTATACCAAGAGTTCATCTTTGGAACCCCGGGTTCTCTGTGTGACTACCTGCGAAAAAGCCCCCTGCTGGTCTTGAGTCTGAGGGATGCAACCCTAGACCTGCGACCCTGATCTGAAAGCTGTTGGTGGTTCGTCCTCGTTCAGACCGCCTGCCCCCGTGAAAACCCTGAACCCGAACCCTAAACCCTACACCAAAAACAGCGCCATAGGATAGTCCGAGGTACACAAAACACCATAAGCCGAATAAACCCCTAAATGGCCTCCAGAAACCTCGAGGCTTGAGCGCCTGAAGCAACATCAAACGCCGCCCGGAACAAGGTACCCAGCTCATGCTGCAGGCCCATGGCTTCAAGCAGGGAAGGGCTCCTTGACGGCAGGAGGTGGGGCTCAATCAGGCCTTTGACTTGATGACAATAGGTACTCTTCTCATCAAGATGTTTGAGGGGTTCTCTATATATATAATATATGGAAGTATATAGGGATCCTCTCCACTCCCCCTTGAGCGTAATAGTGAATTGAGCTTGTGGAGCTGGGGTTGTTGTTTGGAGGGGGCGCAGCATTGCTTAACTCTAGCACTTGAGGCCTGGATGCTGGGTGTTTGGTTTTAGGTCGTGTGGTGTGCTCGAGATTGGAAACCCTGAGCAGGGCGGGCCTTGGAAAAGTGCCAAGTGTACACTGTGCAATTTCTTCTTACCACCCAAATGTGGAAGCGAACTTCCGGAAATAACAATGTGTGACGTGTGCAAAAATGTCAAAATACGCGGACCAGAGCATGTTGACAGGCGAGCCGTCTAATGAGGACCGGAGCTTAGCAGAGGTCTTGGCCCTAAACGCTCTCTCGCTCGCTCTCTCTCTCTCTCTCTCTCTCTCTCCCTTCTTCGTTCTATACATGTATTCTGTTATGTGTAAACTCTATGGATCCTGGAGCCGCCAAACCCACAATCTGCCTGACATTGAGATTCAAAAGGAGTATGGGGCCCTGCTAATCGGCCCACTTCAAGAGGGTCGAAATGACATGAAACACATTAAATACTAGGGCAAGGGATGCAACATCAACTACTGGTTCACAAGCCAGGGCTATGCGGCTGTGCACCTCGATTTTCGAGGCTCTCTCACTGTTCATGGTTCGCATCCTCACCGGGCGGCGCCATCAGATTCGGTCGCACTGCGCCCACATCGGCCGCCTCGCAAGATGATAGCCGGCTTCGGGACTTTTGGGTGACGGTGAAGGGCTGACACCCCTAAGCCCGTAGAAGCTATGCACTTGAGGAGGCTCTGCACTTGAGTGGCGCTTAAGGTTTCGGGTCTAGGGCCCAGTTTGGGCGCGGTGCTCCTAACTTCAGGCGTCGGGTCCTTGCGAGATCGGGTTGCAGGAACTTTGGGGTTTGGGATTCAGGAACATCAGGGTGTCGGGCTTTAGGGTTTTGTAGGGGTGCCCGAGGTCACCCAACCGTCTACGACGGCAAGTACTCCACCAGGCACACCACCCAAGGCGATGCCAAGTGGTGCGAACAGAATTGCCTCTCGTCAGCGCAGGGTCAAATCATGGCAAGGGCCAGCTTTTTTTTGTAAGGATTCCAAAGCAGTGCCCATGAAGATGCCCATTCTAATGAAATAGGCCCTAAACCCTAAACTCTAAGCTCTAAGCCCTAAACCCTAAAGCCCTTGGAGTTCAGGGTCCAGGGGGATTCATGCTCGGCTCTTGCGCGTTCTTGCTCTGCTGCAGAGCGAGCTCGACCTCCCTGCGATGTCCAAGCCCGAGACATCGGAACCCTCAAACCTGCAACCATGCCTTTGCATACATTAGACATGATGTATATTCATATATATATATATACACATATACATATACATATATATGTATGTATGTATGTATGTATGTATGTATGTATGTATGTATGTATGTATGTATGTATGTATGTATGTATGTATGTATACAGTTAAATGCCATGTGTTCTGTATACATATATATATATACACCTATCATATCACATACATGTATATACATATATGCATATATGCATATATGCATATATACATATATATACACACATATATATATATATATATATATCTCTATATATATATATATTCCTCAAGCCTGAAGCCCTACAGCCCTTGGATCTAAACCCCACCACCCTCAGTCCTCAAAACGCAAGTTTTCAAATTCTAACATCCGAATTCCATCCCCTCTCGTTTCATACAGGTAGCCCATGGGCGTGGGGCTTCTTGACCTCTCGTTTTAAAGCCCCTCCTCCCCTCGAAACCAGAAGCTGCAGATCCCCAAACCCTGAAGCCAGCGCCCGAAACCACTTAGAAGTAAGCAGAGCAAGTTGCCTCAAGGTCTGCATCGGTTTCAACTCACCTTCCGTGTTCCAGGGGGAGCGCGGCGGGAGGCAACTGAAAGGCTTTCTTGAAGGTTAACCGTCTTGGCAGTGTTTGCGTTTGACGCCCTGCATTGTTAAGCTTAGCCCTCGGATGCCCCTTATCAAGTCCTGGTACATCGGGTTTGGGGTTTAGGGTTTAGGGTTTTGGGTTTAGGGTTTAGGGTTTAGGGCATCCGGTCATCCGGTCATCCGGGTGCTTAAGTGTCAGTGGAGTGAACAGAGGGGTGGGGTTGCGTAGGGATCCACTCCTCCACGCCCGAGAAGCACCAGGGAGTAGAAGGAAACAGGTATTGTTTTTGATATTCAGGAGATCAAGGGCATCACGAGCGTCTGAAGTAAGATCCCCCCTACACCCTAAACCCTGAGCCCTAAACCCTAAACCCTGAACCCTAAACCCTTGAAAGAGGGCGAGGGAGACGGGGGTTCAGGGAATCATCTCACATGGGCGTACGGTTCGCTGCTGAAGCCTGCTGGGGAATGGCTTGAAGCTGTTGCGCCATCGGTTTGGGGTTTAGGGTTTAGGGTTTAGCGTTAGGGCTTCGGCTTTAGGGTTTAGGGCTGAGGGCTTTTTAGGGTTTAGGGTTTCCGACTTTTTACATCAGGTCGGGTCTTGGGTTGGGCTTTCCACTACACACCCATTGTACAGCAGCACCCAGTGGGCAAAGGCGTTCCCCCTGCAAACTCCCCTTAAAGCACCGGTATAAGACGACCCGCAACGCTGGGCCCCCGCTGCATCTGCAGATGCTCTCGCCCCTGCCGGGGAGCTTTGCAGAGCTTGTGGAGGCGCGTTCGTTCAGACCCCGTTTTTATGGAGTTGGGAGCGCCCTTGTGGGTTTTGGGGTTTGGGGGCTGATTTTCAAAGTCCTAATCCCCAGACCTGAAAGATGTGTTGGGGCAAAAGGCCACAACAGAATCAAGAACACCCAACTCCTCCGCACCTGCAGCCCCGAGCTTGCAGGTTTGGGTCTTTTCCTAACCCCCAGACTTGCCCTAAACCCTAACTCCTGCACCCTAAGCTCCAAAGCTTGAAACAGCCCGAAGCCTCCTGAAACCCTGTGAACCCGGAGGCCTGGCATGAACCCTGGAGTTTAGGGTTTAGGGTTTTTAAAGTCACTGAGCTCGCAGACCCTAAGAAGCCGTAAAACCCAACGCCAAAGGAACAAACCAATCAAACGAGTACCTGTAACACCTTCACCACAACACTGTTTGGTACTGTAAGTCGCCCTACCCCGCCCTCAAAAGACTCTAAACCTAAACCCGAAAACCCGAAAACCCGAAAACCCGAAATCCCAAACCCTAAAACCCCACAAACCCTAAACCCCTAATCCCGACACCCCTAAACCCTAAACTTTGAGAATCACCTTCCTCGGTGCGCAGGGCCTGGACCTCCGGGGTTCCTTGCCGCCGGGGTGGGCGGCGCGGGCCGATGGCTCCTCGGCTTGTTAGGGGGTTTTGGGGTTTTCGGGTTTAGGGCTTCAGGGTTTTAGGATTTTAAGGTTTTAGGATTTTAAGGTTTTAGGATTTTGGGGTTTTAGGGTTTTCGTGTTCTAGGGCTTTAGGATTTGGGGGAGGTTTTGGTTTTGGGCGTTTGTAATGTAGGGGTTGCTATGATGTGGCGCTGCAACAGCTGTGAAGTTTACCGCGTCGTAGTAGTCGCAGTACATCTATGGCGGCCATCTCAAACAATCTTCGGGAAGCCCACCCTAACCTAGTTGCTAAACTCTGCATGGCTTGTCCTTACCTGGAAAGGACACACTATAATGGCCTGCAGGGGTCAGTTAGGCTTCTGTGTTTAGGGATTGAGGGCGTTAAGGGCTTGGGGGCATTGAGGCGGCAGAGGTTTAGGGCGGATTGGGGTCTGGGGTCTATGGTTTTGTCAGGTTTCGTTTCTGGCAAATTAAGGCCGTCGGGTAGTGTTGTTCCCTGATAAATTCAGGGAGCTAGAAGAGCTGGCACGCAGAGATTTCTGGACTTCGCTTTTGCTGGACTTTGGGAGAGATCGGAGGTGAGCGGTTCATGTCAGATGGTTTTGTTGCCAACAGCTTCGCCAAGCTTTTTCTGCCTCCGCGTCCGCGGCTTCGGAATGGAGAGCCCCCCCCCCCCGCCAAACCCAACTCTTCAGTTTGCTTTTGATAAGTATTGTGGATGGAGTAGGCCGCCTTTTGCTCGCGGCTTCCTCCCAATCACCAACGTCACCAGTCCCAAGTCCTGAAACCCCCACAAAGCGAAGGCCCTGTGGAGGCACGAACACCAAAACCGCTCAATATGGGGGCCTTAGTAATCAGAATAGGGTGTTCGGGGTTCTTATTTATAGTATATCATTCTACAGGGCCCATAGGGGAATGCTATCAAAAACTATTCCGACCCCCATATGACGGTTTTAACCAGCTTCCACGGGGTGCTACAGTCTCAGGCTCCTGAAGAGACGCGCCCGCGAGAAGCAAGCTCTCTGTCGAGGATCGCGCCAGCGGAGCAGCCAGCGAAAAAGCGCCAGGGAATCTTCGAAGGGTGGCGGAAGATGTGCCCATACAGCCATGATTGCGTAAGCTTTAGAGATGAACCTTGTGACACAGAGACGCCTAAAACCCATGTTCTGAATGAACCCCAGGCATTGCCGAACTTTGTATTCAGATCATGTGATACTGTCCTCAGCCTGGTGCCTGTACGGAAAGCCACCAGAGCTTATCCTAAGATCTTAACCTGCACTCGTAATTATGCGCAAGATGTGCGCATCACGCATAAAGTCTGAGTGCCTGGGGAATCGAGGGTTCTACCCCGTTTCTTGTTTCAGACTTTGTGGACGCCCTGGTTACGTACAGAATCTTATCTGTTCAAGGCTTTGTCGCAGACGGGCCTGGTCCTACCCCACACGGCATGAATAAATAAATACATATATATATGTATATGTATATACACATATAAATATAAATATATATATATATATATGTATGCATGTGTACTATATATATGTATATATATATATGTAATAGAATATATACATGCATAAGGAAAGATGTCGATGCTGTTTAGAGGGGACATTGGCCAGGAGGCGGGGGTAGATTATATACGAGTAATAAGCATAATACGAACAATCATAGTACACACACATGTATGTGCATGTGTATATGCTATATATATATATATACATTATAAAAAGATGGTTCAAGCCTTAGACCCCACACCCTAACCCTGAACCTCTTACCACGGGCGGCCGAGGCACCAACCGACTCATCGTGCGGCTGATCGACAGTGGAGATCAGCGCCTTGGAGCAACGTTGGTTGGGCCTAGGCGGAGGGATGTTCCAGGTGGAAGTCGTTTTGGAGTTTAGGGTTTAGGCAGTAGTTTTGGGAGTTTAGGCTGTATGGGGTTTTCAGTTTAGGCCGGCAGGAGATGAGAATGTTTTGAGTTTCTGAGCCCCGTCTCTCAGCCCCGGTCCTGGTGGCCCCCCCCCCCCCCACCCCCAACAGGTACGCCGTGAAGCCGGACAACCTCAGGCCGGATTTGGGGGGAGGGGGGGTGGATTATGGGGCCACACAATTTTCAGGTTTGGCGTTGAGGGTTTTGCTGTTTGCCCTTGGATGTTTGTGGTGTCTTGGAACCTCCCCGTTCTTCCACGAACACTGAGCCATTGAAGCCGCCCTTTAACCGCCACGGCGGTTCACCAATTCTCGAGGCCCAAGCTCACCCTCAGACGCTCACAGGCTCAACCCACAAACCTTCAAATCGTCGAACCCTCCAAAGCCTTCAAGGCCTTCAAACCCTCCGGCCCAAAACCCTCAAACTCCCCCAACGCCGAGCCTCGGAGACATCTGCAGGACAACCAAGGAAGAAGCGGAGAAGCTGATGGAAAGCGATCTTGAGGACCATGCAGAGATGCTGCAGGGCTTGGGGCCGGTGTAGGGTTTCAATAAAGTGAGGGCTGCCAAGCGTACAGGGTTGGGGGTTTCAACATGTTTCAACCCAGAGCCCAGGCACAAGGCCCTACACCCCAAGCCTGGAGGCCCTGGAACTTTCGGGCACCGGCAATTTTTTTGCGCGGGCCTGTTCGGGGCATCCTAGCGGGCTCCTGTGGCTTGCGGTTGGGGGGTTTTGAGGTTAGGGCTTTGTGGCCTCAATTTGAGGGCTTGACGTCTCGGGTTGCGGGGTGAGGTGCTTATGCAAGTGGTCATGCGGGCACTCGGACCCTTCTCCCGAAATGACTCTGCCGAAGCCCCAAAGCCTCCACCAGGATGTGTCCATCTACAACCCTGCCCTCCAGTCTGAGGCCATGACCCAAGATTGCCTTTCAACTCTGGACATCTTCCAGGTCAATTCCGCTAAAGTAGCCGTATAATAAAGTAACAGGGACCCAAAAGGGACCACCATGTAGAGAGCCACCCATACTGGCAGCAAAATCCCAAAACATTGTGACCTCAAACTCTGAGCTGTGGAAAGCTGCCCTAGAAACAGCTGAAACCCCAGGCCCTCACAACCTGTGCCCCGAACCCCAACGATCCAGACGAAGCCTGACAACGCCACATCCCTAAAAACTAGAACCCCCTAAGCCCTAAACACCCTAAGCACCCTAACATAGGGGTCAGGGAATATTGCTAATAATACATTATGGTCCCTTTATCATGATACTACAAGAACCCACCCCAAAACCCTATTTTCATTCTTAAGCTCCTACAGTAACCCCCCCCCCCCCCCCCCCAACGCCTCCTCCATCCGAAGCGCCCTACAACCGACCCTAAACCCTAAACCCTGAACCCTGAACCCTGAACCCTGAACCCTGAACCCTGAACCCCCCAATGCCTCCTCAATCAAGCTGAAGTCGCCGTTCGCAGCCGGCCCAGGCCCAGAAGCTCCGAGAGCAGAGGGCTCAGTCCAGCGGCATTCCTTGAAGATTTGGAGGTTTAGGGTTTAGGGTTTAGGGTTTAGGGTTTAGGGTTTAGGGTTTAGGGTTTAGGGTTTAGGGTTTAGGGTTTAGGGTTTAGGGTTTAGGGTGCAGCCTCGTGGGCCCAGGGTGTAGGGTTTAGGGGCTACTGCAGGGTTTATAGGGCTTAAAGGATTTCGGGTTCAGGTTAGGCGGTTCGGGGCAAGCTCTCAAGCTCAAAGTACCCTGAACCAGTCAAACCCAAATCCGACTGTAAAGCACAGCTCTAAAACCATTACTGCCCAAATCCCTAAACCTGTTGAACATCCGCCCTAAAACTTTGCCCTGAATCCCAAGACTTCCAAGTAAAGACCTAAAGTCTAAATCCCTACGATTCCTTTGAAAACAAAAGCCTTAAAGCTCTGACGCCCCAAGCCTCCTCGTGAAACCTAAGTCCTGAACCCTGAGCCCTGAACTGCACCCTAAACCCGAAACTCTAAACCCTAAACCCTAAACCCCAAACCTTAAACCCTAAACCCAAAAACCCACAAGTTGCCGCAGGTCTGGCAAGCTGGACGATCTTCAGAGCGATCCAGAGCTCCAGCCCATCTTCGAGGAGTCTTACTTGGGCGGCTTAGGGTTAGAGCTGAAGGGGTTTCGGGTTTAGGGTTTCGGGTCTAGGGTTCCGGGTTTCGGGTTTAGGGGACTTTTGGGCTTGGTTTTGGGGGTTTAGGGCTTTGGCTTTTTTGGGGTTTAGGCTTTGGGGTGTGGAGCAGCTTGGGTAGGCGTGGGTTCTGTTCGCTAATGAGTTTTTTTTGTTTGTGCCCCGGGGGCTGCTTTGTTTGCTGTTTGGTTCAGGGAGGAAGAGCATCTCCGGCGCCGCCGAGAGCTTGGTGACGGGGGCTGCGGGTCGTGGGTTCGGGGTTTTGGGGTTGAGGGGGTTCTGCGTCTTGGGGTAGACCCCCATACTCTAAGTACCCTGAACCCTTATACACCTGATCGTTCAAGGGTCTAGGATTGTGGCGTTCGGGCTGGTTGGTCGCGGAGTCGCGGTGTCGTCGCAGAGCTCTGAAGGAGCTTTCCGGCCCGATCTGCATACCGGGGGAACGGCCCTAAAAGCCTTAGAAGCCTTGTAGAACACATAAGCCCTATAAACCCTCTATAGTCCTAGTACCCTAAACCCTAACGCCTTTTGTCGTAGTACCCTAAACCCTAAACCCTAAACCCTAAACCCTAAACCCTAAACCCTTTGGTATGGGGAGAAGATTGAACCCTGGGGTTTTACAGACCGTCGGCTGTAGCCATGGGCAGACTTCTCCTCGCGTTCTGGCTGGCTGCTGACTTTGCAGCTGCTGAGATGCAAGTTTCTCACGCAGAGGCAAGGCATCCCTAAATCCCAAACCCTAAATCCTAACTCTAAACGCAAAACTCTAAATCCTTACCCCTAAATCCTAAAGCCCTCAATAAGCCCCAAGCCCTAAACCCGATCAGGTTGAAGTTAAGGGCTTCGCGCCTAAATGCCAAAGCCTACACACTTCAAAAGAGTAGATGAGGCTTTAATTCAGTTGCTTGTGACTCGGCTCGACAGTCAGGTTTTTTGGCGACCTTTTCAGGAAAAAAACCTCCTCTCTTCTGCAAAGCAGACTTGACTGCCCGAAAGCCTTTTAGGGCTTCAGGGGGTTTCAAGGGCTCGAACTGTGAGCAGCTCTCGCCAAGACCCAGGAACAGACCCTGAGTCCTGCCTAAACCCTAAACTTGTCCAAAGCCTGGGATGTGCCCCTTCTACTAACAGTCCTTAATCGGGATGATCATAGGGGGGTAGTACAATCCCTACTAAGGACTGCCAGGATAAGGGGGGACAATCTCAATCCGAAGCCCTAAAGCCCTAAAGCCTGGGCCCTAAAGCCCGGTGGATCTGAGAGGTGATGCCTGGCCCTGAGCTCCCGCCCTGCGACAACTCGGAGATCGAGGCCGGCCGTCCGGTTCGATTCGATGCACGTCATCTGCACTGACTGACTACTATTTGCTTAAGAGCCCCAAAAGAATAAAAACAAAAAGAATCCCTAGATTACCCTTGGTAAGGAAGCCTTTTTTGGGTTCTTAGCAATTAGTAGATGAACTGAAGGTTTGGTTGTGTAAGCTTCACTTTAGGTTGACAGGCTTAGCAGGTTTAGGCTTACAATGCCTAGACCCTCGTACCCTTTTTCACATACTCTGCATAGTGAACCTCGATAGAAACCCCTTGGATCCTCAATTGAGGGCTTCGTGGGAGGTTCAAGAAGGTGTATAGTATAAGGTCGACCCAAAGACAAGCTGAACCCTACAAACCTGAAGTCCTCAAATGCCCTTCAAGCCCAAGACCCAAACCCCACAAGGCCCAAGCCCTAGAAACCTAAAGATCCTACCATACACAACCCGACCCTGAGCCTCACCAGGACCTCCCCCTAGATCTTCAGTGTTTCTAGAGAGTTTAGGCTTGTTAGAGCGTCTCGGGTTTGGGTTCAGTCCACGGATTTTCGGGGTCAACTCGGCTTTTGGGGTTCAGGGCTTAGGGTCTCTCAGTCCGATGATTCAGGGACCCCGAGGCCTCAACCCAAAAAGCAAGCTGCAGGTGGAGGAGGAGTGCCCCAACGCCACCAGCCAGGGCCTGGTGTGGACAGCGTTCTCACGGGAGCAGCTCGGACTTCAAGTGCTCGACACAGGATTTAGGACGGCTGCATGCCTATACACAGACATGCCCCTGTAGGCCTCTAGACACCCTTGCTTACAAGTCCCAATCCCTTACAACGCCCCCTACGTACAAGCCTCACAGAGCCCAGGCTCTTCGACGCCCGCGCCCAGCTCTTTGGGATCTCTTTGCAACAGGCGGCGCCTTTGCTGCGGTGGTTTCTGGTACAAGAGGGGTTTAGGGCCAAACTCTTAGCGGTTCGAGGGAAGGCCTTGCGTTGCCTTTTTGGTGTTTCGAGTTGGTGCTTTCAGAGAGTTTTAGTCTTTGGTATGGCAGGTCTTGGTGAGGTTTCCCAAAGTGTGGGAGCTGGGTGCAGGGCAATCTGCAAGGCCGATTGCTTGTATATTAATTGGTGCTGCTGAGGTCCCCCCCCCCCAACCTAAAGCACATACTTATTTCTATACCCTAAGCTTGGGATGTTCCCCCTGATACTAACAGTCCTTAATAGGGATTATAGTACCCCCCCCATCATGTTGAAAGCTCTGAGGTGATCAGCTGGAGCTGATATTGTAGGCCAAGAATCATGTCGTTTGCCTCTGTAACATGCGCCCTCAACATGCAAACTTCCTGTTCCAAGTCATGTTGAGCATTGCACCTCCTGTCCTCCTTAGCCCTCCTGAGCAATCGGTTGTAATATAAGTAATATAAGGCCTTTGCCCATGTCTGTGCATCCATGGCTCTCGAGAAACTACTAGATGTAGCTACGTCCAGCGAACAACCACGCGAACAACACATTGTAATCCCTATTCAGGACTGTTAGTACAGGGGGGAACATTTCTATACCCTAAGCTGCTTTTAATTCGTGGGGTTGGCTTCAAGTGACCAAAACCCAGGTCTTAAGGGTGCATGAGCTGCTCTCGCGAGCGACGCGCAAGCTCCAAGGAGGCAAAGCACAGGGGAGGCGTTGGGGTGTTTTGGGTCTAGGGTTTAGGGTCTAGGGTTTAGGGTTCAGGGTTTAGGGTTTGGGGTTCAGGGTTTGGGTTTAGGGTTGAGGGTTGTTTGGGGTTTGGAGTCCATGACCCCAACTGGAGATGATGTTTCCTGATGACGACGTCGGGGGGGGGTGCCGTGCAGATTCCACCCCTCGCAATTATAATTGTTGTGTCGGCGGCGTTCGCGCAACTGAGGTTTTCAGACGCTTTCTCTTGCACTGGCGCAGTGGTCAGCACTTACTTCACCTTGGCAAGGCTTCTGGTGATGCAGGGCCGTCTACGACGGGCTCTGTCCTTCCTTCACCTGGGCTTCATCTTCGTCCGCGACCGCGGCTTCAGCGAATGCTCAACATGGCCGGCGGCCGGTTGGGATGTCATGTTGGCCGGCCGAAGTCTCACTGAGAGGGTGCGCCTGCTAGATGACGAGTCGGTCATGAAACTGGATCCTGGCTACCGACTCCAGGGTCTGCGCGTTGCTGTTGTCACCATCTGTGCCTACGCGGCCGATGCTCCTGTGCGAGTCTTGTGCGATCAAAACCGTCAGATCTACAAAGCGCTCCATGGATACGACGTGCACTTCTTCACGGACGCTGCGCAGATTGCGCCGAACGAGGCGGCAAGGATGAACGTGAAGGATGGAGTTCACAAACCTTTCTTCTGGAAAGTGAAGCCAGGGTCCATCTGCAGTAGCATTTTGATCTTCAAGGCCTGAACCTGTAGCGGCCTTAGCCCAGTCCCTGGTTTTCACGTAAGAACCGGCCGTCCCTAACCTTGAGTTTCGCGGCTCACTCTCAGGAATGCTGTCAAGAACATCCTCGACACGGGGAAGTATGATTGGGTCCTTTGGATGGACTGTGATGCCTTCTTCATGGACCCAGGAGCATGGCCAAAACCAACGTGCATGTTTGCGTGTCAACCATCTACAGTCTGCACTGCTTATAGGTGAGACGAGTCAGATGATTCAAGTAAGTCGCAAACACGCGGAAGGCGCATGAGAATTTCCGCGACGCCGCTGGCAGGACGGACCATTGACTCTGTGATAGCCATGTATAGTGGCAATCTCACTTCAGCCACGCGGCTCCCTCCGCCCAGCACCCAGGCTTAAGTATTAAGCGAGTTCGTAGTAGCTGTCAGACTTGGAGAAGTTTATGTTTGTTTTGTTTACTTTATCTTTAGGCTTCGGGCTTAAAGCTTACAGCGGCGACAGACTCATTTGTAGCCCTCGGCCCTCAAAGAGCCTCTGCTCCTCTGCGCCTTTGTGAGCCTGAAGCCCTTCATCCGAAGCCAGTACAGCCCAAACCCTTGAAGTTTCCACAGAAGCCTCAGGTTTCTGCAGATCCTTCAAGACCCCTTGAATCTCCATGCCCCCGAAACTCACAGTCCCTGAGCCCTGAACTCATGACTTCCAAAGGCCTCAAGCACCGACCCTCCTAAAGCCCCGCCCTACACCCCCCAGCCCCCCCCCGACCCGAACTGCTTTTGTGAGGTTCCGAGGATCCACCTGAAGTGCGCCGACTACGCGGCGAAACGATGCCAAATTATTCCGCCAATGTGTCGCTTATCTTTGCCGTGGACTCCACAGGCATCAACAACGGCGTGTGGCTCCTGAGCCCTTCCTGGTTTTGGACGTATTCTGGGGCTTCTTGGATTCGGGTTGCCGGGGCAAACCTCAACCCTGAAACCCTGACCGGTAGTACTGTTGGCGTAATGAAAGAAAGGGAGTTTATTGCACTGTCACAACGACGCCAGGAAAGAGACTGTTTCTGTACGGGGTCCCTACTATACCTGAGCCTCAAGGAAGAACACAGCATGGTCTCACGACTTCCTCCAGCGCTGGTGGGAGTCCGACATATTGGAAGGTGCAGCTGCAAGGGATTTTGGGCTCAGGGCTTCTGCTAAGACCCCTCCATCCCTGGGCCCAAAAAATTTCCTGGAACTCTTGAGGTCCTGTATAAGATCTCGTCGCCTCGAAAACATGTGCAGCCAGGTGTGCATTGCAGAAGCCCCACAACAAGGGAGGGAATCTCTCCAAATTTATTGGGACGGCACCGGGGTTTAGTCTTGAGGTTTAGGGTTTGCGTCCGGGTTTGTTTGTCACGGACTCAGGGTTTTGGTTTGCCAGCGCTGCGGCTATGACAAGCCTAGCCTGCGTGACCCTGTCCATGGGCTCATGGCGTAGATATACGTGCAGGGCACTGGTCGCGCCCTTCCTCGCTTGCTCGTGCCTCCACATGCGTTGTAGCATCTTGCAGTTGAAACTGACGGGTTCTTGGACCGACCTTGCAGCCTAAACTTGAAACCTCAAACCTTGGACACTGGGTGTTGGAGCAAAGGCCCCCGTGAGCATGGCAGGTCCTGGCAAGGAGCACAACTGCAGCGACCAATCCACCATGCTGCACCTTGGTCTTCGAATGTGGTTAAATTGTCTGGGTTCTGCGAAGCCCTGGAATCCCCAAGCATCCTAAGCCTCAAGCCCGAATCCTGTAGTCTTTCAAGGCAGTTTTGGTGTATGGTACCGTTGATGGGTCTATGGGGCTGCTCATGGGTTTTGAGGTGGGGGGGGGGGGGGGTGCACCTCACACACCTCAGGCACACACTGCTCCACGAACGGGCTATGGACTTGGATGCGACCTGGGACAAATACGAGGCCAGTTTGCGATTTGGTTCCTAGGTCGGCCCTTGGGGTATTTTAGACTTATCCTTTTGGGTTTAAGAGGGTTATATAGGAATATTGTTCGTTTTAAGGGCCAAATTGAGGCATAATTGTTGTAACCTACGAACTTCCTGGGATTTGGGATTTCAGGCAGGCTTGGGGTTCGTGATTGGGGGCTCAAGTCGAGACTGTGGCGTTCAAGACTCAAGCTTGGCAGCTGGGTTTACAGGGGGGCCTGGGCCTGCTTGCATTTTAAGTATAGGGTTTAGGGCCTTAGGGTTTAGGGTTTAGGGCCTTAGGGTTTAGGGTTTAGGGGAACTGCCGTTTTCGGTTTTCGGTTGGATTTTAGGGCAGAGCAGTTGAATGGCCGTGGGCGTCCAGCTTTGCAACTGCACGGGGTGGATTGTGAGACGGCAAGAAAGCACTCCCAGAATTTGGGAGACGCGATGGAAGGCCCAAGGGTCTCAAAAGGCCTGCGGATCGGGCCCCACCGAACAGTTTGGTCAGGGGAACTCAGACGAATTGAAAGGTGCAGATGTTCAGGGGAGGTAATCTTGTAGTGAATATGGTATCAGAGTATTTACATTGTGGTCCCTTTGTGGCCCACTGAAAAGAGGCCGGATTGCACCAGCGACCCAGAGAGTCTTAGAGGCTGAAACTTTGGGAACTCACAGATTTTGCGAAAGGAGTTGGGCTGGGGAAGTGGCCACAAATGCCCCTTCCAGATTTGCTCACTGCACTTCAAAAACCCAAAGCTCCAATTAAGACCCCTACACGCTAAAACCCCTAACCTCTACATCCTCAACCGTAAGTCCTACACTCTAAAGTCAACATGCCTGAAGTCTGAGAGGCCCCCATCTATCCGCCAGAAGTGCGCGTGGCGCGGCAAGAGCACCTTCAATCCTTCCATGAGGCGGTCCGGAGGTTTAGGGTTGGTGTTTGGGGGGTCTTGGGGGAAGATGGGGGGTTTGGGGGGGGGTTTGGGGGGGTTTGGGGGGTTTAGGGTTTTACGGATTTGCAGCTTGTAGGTTATTGACTTTGCTTTAAACCACGGGTGTTGGTTTGAGGTCCAGCTCGGAAGTTTTTCCATGCTTTGGTGGCACAATGTCAGGCCCCACGTGGTATCCAGGAGGTTCTAGCCCTAAACCCTAAACCCTCAACCCTAAACCCTCCAGCAGAAGCATCTCCACTGTTGCTCTGAGGCTTCCGAAAAGCTTTGGAGGTTCACGGATAGTTGCAAGTAGGGTTAGAGGTGGCCCCAACGTGGGGGTCAAACTCTATCATACTTATAGCTACCCCTGAGGCGCCCCAGCATACGAGCAACACAAACAGCAACACCCGCAGTAAAAGCCCTGTGCGAATGTTGATCATGCATAGGCTCGACCCAGCAGCCTCTCCCAACGGTCCAGTACCCACAAATATGCCCCCCCCCCCCCCCCCTCCCCAAAAAAACACAAAAAACAAAACATTTTTAACCCTCCCCAAGCCGGCCCCAAAGAAACTACGAACCCTCCGTGACCCCTCGGCGCTCCCTTAGAGTAGGTGTCTGGCTTGCCCCAGGAAGGTGAGATGTGAGTAAGGTGAGCCAGTATCTCTGAGGGCGAAAGACGTGAACCCCGGAGCCATGAGCTTCAAAGGGCTCAGGGCCGGGGTGTTGCACGCCCTTAGAGCAAACTTCAGCCACACCCTACAGCCCAGATGAGGGTTTAGGGTTTAGGGCTAGGCCGAACTATGAGTGCCAGGCCACGGCAGCTACAGCTCTGTCCCGTGCGTGGCACCGTGGACTGCAGGGGGGTGGCTAACCTGGGCTTTAGAAACTCCTAGCAGCCGCAACCCTCTATACTGGATTCTACTGTAAACCCCCCAAGCCCAAAACCTACTAACTTTAGACCCGAGACCCCGAATCCAAGCCCCTTAAGCTCCTGAGGGCCCTGTACAAGTGTCTGAGAGCTCAGGAGCTTGGCAAAAGTGTTCGGTATTTTCTGGAGTTCAAGGTTTAGGATTTCCACTTTTCTCGAAAGCAGTTTCGGGCGAACAGTTACTTGTCTCACACCGACTTCTGGAATAGCCACGTCTTGTTGCGAAAACCACACTTCTCGCCGAGAGCTTAGTGGGTTTGGGAGAGCCTCCTTGCTTGCTTCTATCCACTCCAGTGCCCTCACAATTCCCGCTGAAGCCCGCAGAAGGCCCCAAAACCGCTTCAGCCCTTCAGCCTAGGCAAGAGGGCGACTTCATCAAGCACCATCCCGGGTGCACCTTTGCAGCATCTGTGGCCAACTCGGGTTGGCGAATCTTCTCCGGCCCTGGGGGATTCAGGTTGAGGGAAAAAAGGGTTTCGGGTATGAACGGTTTAGGATTCTGGACTTGTAAGGGTCTTGGGTAGGCCATTCTTGTGGTGGCATCGTGGGGCAAACCGAAGGACCCTGAAAACCCGAACCCTGAGCCATGGAGGTGGGTTTTGGGTTGAGGATGTTAGGGTTCTCTTCAATCCCAAACTCTAGTTTACTACAGCCTCTCTGATCAGGGCCTCAAAACTCAGTGAAGGATGTGGCGCCCGCATCACCCCCATTAGCTGTGTAGAGCACGGGCGCCTGTGTTTGGTGCCCATTCTTGCACTGCAGCGCCGTTCCTCGCAGCAGCAGAGCTCCGCGCGAGCAAATCCGGCTGCTCTAAAAGAATGCTTGCTGGAAAGTGGTCCGACGACTAGTGGTCTACGCCGGCAGAAGCCCTGAATTTCCCATGGACGTTAGCACTGCAAGGGGCAGCTCGGAGCCTTCCGAGCCTGAAAAGCCTTGGCCGTTTTTTTTAAAGAGACGAACCAGCTTTGGCTTGATGTTGAAGTTCTCTTTGAGGTCACTACTACCGGCCTCCGTGCCAGCAGCTGTATCAGGAAGCCCAGGCACTGGGGTTCACCGGGTTAGCTTTTTTTAAGCTTTAAGCTTTAAGGTTTAGTGCATCGCCTCCAGCTTCTTCGGGGGGGGGGGGGGGGGGGGGGGGGGGTCCCTTGAGAAGGGATTCATTGATTCATAAAGTCGGAAAACCCCATCCAAGAGTCCAAAAGTTAGCCAGACAGCCGTGGATATTAGAAGCCTGAAGCAATCTAGAAGTCTAGAGTCTACAAGTTCACAGTAGCAGTATGCACTTAGTCTTTTGTTTTTTCTTGCAAAATCAAATCCCTGAACTGCTGCCTCTCTGAGTTTGCTTGCACTCATGAAGAGGTTCATTCGTAGCTTTTTTGCCATCGCCTGTCAAGCAGTTCTTCGCACCCCCTTGCCCCATGCAGGAGATATTCTACAACAAGGTCGTGATGATCCACCGATAACGACTCACCATGTGATACAGTGGCTCCCGTGCGCCGACGACAGCAACCGACGGGTGCGAGACTTTTCTTCGGAGACGTGGCCGCCTGAACCAGGGCAAAGTGAAACGGAGGAGGATGGACAGCAACAGGTCTGCTTGCCTTTCGGCGGTTGTGCCATAGGCCAGGCGCAGGGCTTCGATGCAGCACCGGAGCAAGCGAAGTTCGACGCTGACGTGCGTGTAGACACGAGGAGCCCGGCAGACAATGGCCGGAAGGTGCAGCAATCGGCACCCAGTCGGAGCCTTCGTGTTCCGATGCCCTTGTGCTTAATGCCCTCAAGATTCCAAAACCTCGAACCCCTTAAACTCCTGAAACCTAAGCCACTGACACCCAATCCTCAAACCCTGAACCCTTGGGGGTCGCAGATGTGAAGGAAGCGGAAGGACAGTCTCAAATCCGCCTGGCTCACTGCAGCGCTTGTGTTGAGCCCTCAGTGGACATCCGCACGGAGGGCAAAAGGGAGTCACCACGTTCTATGAGTTCCGAGAGTATCCTTCATTAAGCCCAACTTCAGACCCCCAGATTGCAAAGCCCTGAATTCCTTGAGCTCCGGGACGGGGCCTGTGATGATCTATCTTGAGAGGTGCCCTCGCAGGAGCTCGCCATCTTGTAGAGTCTTCTTGGGGTTTTGGGGCTTTGGGGTTTCAGGGTTGGGCTTAGGGTTTAGGGTTTAGGGTTTAGGGTTTAGGGTTTAGGGTTTAGGGTTTAGGGTTTAGGGTTTAGGGTTTAGGGTTTAGGGTTTAGGGCTCGGGGTCGAAGAGCTCGGGTGTGGCTCTGAAGGACATCAAGAAGAACGGCATGTCGGCCTTGGAGAAATACTGGGGCGATGAGAAGCTCATGGCAAAGATTTCAAAGGCCAGCTCCCAGGAGTACCCTACAGAGGGTTTAGGGTTTGGGGTTTAGGGTTTAGGGTTTAGGGTTTAGGGTTTAGGTATGTTTAGGTTCATGGCTGCCCGTAAGTAGGGTGAGAAGTACCCTGAACATGATTGTCATAATAGTTGCCACACTTTTAGCCCTAAACCTACATGTCAATATTTATCTCTATACATATATATATATGATTATATGTGTGTACATATAGATACACCACTGAACCTCCAAGCAAACCCTAAAGTCCCTGGTTTGGAGTCTGTAGAGCCTTTGGAATCTCTGTAACCTCATGCTACCGTACTGGGGCCAGGGTGTGCCTGCAGCGACCTCAACTTCTTCTGCCGTTGTTTCAGGGTTTAGGGTGTAGGGTGTAGGGTTTAGGGTTTGGGCGGTGTTCAGAACCCTAAACCCTCGAAGAACCCTAAACCCCTCTCTGAAGAATCCCCACAGAGCCTTTGTGGGGGGGGCTCAGCTGGCAGGCCATGGGCGGCTAGCTCCCTCCGAAAGGCGCCTCCGGATTCTGGGGTTTGGGGGTTGAGGGTGTTAGGGGCTTGTAGTTTGGGTTTAGGGTTTAGGGTTTAGGGTTTAGGGTTTAGGGTTTGGGGTTTAGGGTTTAGGGCTTAGGGCTTAGGGCTTAGGGCTTAGGGTTTAGGGCTGCGCGTGTGGTTCCCAGGCATTGGGCAGGGAGTGTGGAACCCTACTGAACAGCAATACGAGTCAAGTAGGCAGCGCGAGACAAACATCGGTATCCACTTGAGGATGGTAGAGTGGGGGTTTGCGAAAATAGGACTGCACTTCCGTTTTTTGCTTGGGGGGGGGGTCCTCAAACAAGGATTCAACTGTTTGAGGTATATTCAAGGGACCATCTTGGCAACAATACGCTCTCAACCCTGAGCCTGAACCCTGCAGGCTTTAGCCAAAGCATCTAGGGTTTAGGATTTTCGGGCTGGGAATGGCCCAGAGTCTTGGGGTCTCGGCCACCAAACCCTAAACCCCAAACCCTAAACCCCAAACCCTAAATCCTAAACCCTAAACCCTAAACCCTAAGAGCAGCACAGGTCGGCGCCTGCCACACGCCCAATGTGGTTTTGGAGGCCCGGGGTGTGCCTGGGAGGGCCGGGAGTACACCCCAAACCCTCGGCTTGGGGCTCAGCCCCCCTAAAGCCTAAACGCTAACCCCTGTGCCCTAAACCCCCAAACTCTAAACCCTAGACCCTAAACCCTAAACCCCAAACCCTAAACCCTAAACCCTACTAGGGTTGTTAGGGTCTGTTCGGGAGCTCAGCCAGGTTGGGGGTTGACAGGCGGGTGTAGTCATTGGCCGAAGACTGCGGGGGTTTTGTTTGGGTTGAGGCTGTGCGCCCTCCTGGATGCAGAACAAATACGGTATAAAACTCAGAGTGCAAAAACAAACATACATTAACACTAACAATATAGTATTTCAATATTATGATATTATAGTAATAACAACAATATGCAAGGTCTCGTAAACCCCTTCCCCCTACTTGGGAGAGATGAAATCCCTCTTTTTCCCCGAGGTTTCACACAGGCGAACTCCGCCTCTTTAACATCTGCCAGCCGAGCTTGCACAATGAAGGCAGCGGTGGTTTGGCTGCAGGTTGGGATGTTCAAAGTCCTTCATAGGGGTTCTAGTACCCCCGGTTATAATCCCCATTAAGTATAAGGGGGAACATCCCAAGCTGTAGGTTGCAGTTTGGTGTTTCGGCTTGGCTTTCCGAATAATAGGATGCCTGGTGATACCTTGATTCCTGTTTTTTGGTAGGGCTAGGGTTTACCCATGGCACCCGGGGACCCGAGCCCAGAAAACGACGGGATTGACGCAAGCAGCTCGCACTCCTGGCTTTGTTGTTTTTTGCGTACGTCTCTCGTCGCTGTTGGGGCTTACGCCTCAGCACGGAGTCTCCGGATTTCGAGCTATGAACAAGGGTTACAGGGTTCAGGGTTGCGGTGTTTGGGTAGGGCTTGTTTAATCGGATTTAGGGACCACCCTCAGCACCTCTACAGAACCCCCAACCCTAAACCCTAAACCCTTAACAAAACCCTAAACCCTAAACCCTAAGCCCCCCCAGATCCCGAACATGAGTCCTCTGTAGGTCTGTAGCCACCAAGCGCCTGAGTCCCGCCACGATTGCTGAACACAAAGCTGCAAAAGCCATGTAGGACCTTTGGGATTGTTTAGGGTTTAGGGTTGGTTTGGGGTTTAGGGTTACAGGGTTTAGGGTTTAGGGCTACAGGGTTCAGGGCGACAGGGTCTAGGGTTTAGGGTTTGGGCTTACACGGTTTAGGGTTTAGGGCTTAGGGTGGCCAGGACTCCTTCCCGTCGCACTCGGCACTGGCGGAGGGCGCGCGTGCGCCGAAGTTGAACGCATCGAAAGGAAGGAGAAAAGCGGCAAGCCCTTGAAGCCTAAAAGCACGCATAGAGCAGAATGCATATAAATGAACCATACATATAAAAGTCTTTTCCAAAGTGTATAATATAGTTAGATATTCACAAAAAACACAATTAGCCATAGACATAATATGTGTATACGCACCTTTCTACATACGCAAGCACCGCCGGTGTAAAATGCACGTTGTTGGGGGTTTTCCCTAATTTACTGTAAGCTTTCAGCAGGACATAGGCCCCGGCGGCACATAGGATCAGCGTCTTGTGACAACTTGTGAGATTCCAACCATACAGCCAAAACCTCTGGGGTTCAGGTCTCGCCGGCGCCGTTGGGGGACCCATAGTGTTTTTGAACCCTAAACCTAAATGCTTTAGACCCGATAACCCTTAACCCCAATTAACCCCTTAACTTGGGATGTTCCCCCTTATACTAGCTGTCCTTAGTAGGGATTCTAGTACCCCCTGCTATATTCCCTGTTAAGGACGCTTAGTATAAGGGTGAGCCACCCAACCTTTAACCCTGAACCCCATTCCTCAAAAAGTGAAGGTGATGGTTTCACCTGCAGCTCATTGGCTTCAGGTTGAAGCTGGGGTACCAGCCTGAAGTCGGGAGCTACTGCAACCTTACTCGTTCTGAGGAGGGTGTAGGGTTGTTCGGGTTTGCAGCTTGGGTTTGGGATGTTTGGGGTTGCAGTTTCGGAGTCCTAGGGTGTTAGGTTTGTTTGGGGTGGTTTGACTTAGGTTTCCTAGGTGTTGCGATCTTGGTCACAGGTGCTTGGGGATTTGTTGAGGTTCTTTGACGACTTAGGGTTTGGAGGATATAGGGGGTCGATTGAAAATCATGCACAGGGAAGGACCGAAAGTTCAACAGGCATCCGCAACCTTTCTAATGCCATTAGGGTTGAGGGTCTTGTGCTTCGTGTATGTAGGGGTCTTGACAGTTCCTTTGATTTCAGCATTTCGCCATGCCGCCCCAGCGGGGGGCCGCGGCCACAGCGGCCGCGACAGCCGCGCCGGATGCCCAGCTGTCCGGAAGCAGTGGGGGTTGGGCGAGTTCAAGGTTTCAGGGTTTCAGGGTTCAATGACATGCGTGGTGTGTGTGTGTGTGTGTGGTTGCGCGTGTGGTTGCGTGTGTGTGCGCGTGCGTGTGCGTGTGCGCGTGCGCGTGCGCGTGCGCGTGCGCGTGCGCGTGCGCGTGCGCGTGCGCGTGCGCGTGCGCGTGCGGGTGCGGGGCGGGTGCGGGTGCGGGTGGTGCGGGTGCGGGTGGGGGGGTGTGGGTGTGGGTGTGGGTGTGGGTGTGGGTGTGTGTGTGTGTGTGTGTGTGTGTGTGTGTGTGTGTGTGTGTGTGTGTGTGTGGTGTGTGTGGTGTGTGGGTGTTCGTGTGTGGGTGTGTGTCTGTGCGTGTGGGTGTGGTGTGTGTGCGTGTGCGGGTGTGCGCGTGCGGGTGTGCGTGTGCGTGTGTGCGCGTGCGGGCGTGCGCGTGCGCGTGCGCGTGCGCGTGGGCGTGGGCGTGGGCGTGCACGTGCACGTGTGCGTGTGCGTGTGCGTGTGCGTGGGCGTGGGCGTGGGCGTGTGCGTGTGCGTGTGCGTGTGCGTGTGCGTGTGGGTGTGTGTGTGTGTGTGTGGTTGCGTGTGTGTGGTTGCGTGAGTGTGTGGTTGTGTGTGTGTGTGTGTGCACGCGTGTGTGTGTGTGTGTGTGTGTGTGTGTGTGTGTGTGTGTGTGTGTGTGTGTGTGTGTGTGTGTGTGTGTGTGTGTGTGTGGTGTGTGTGTGTGTGTGTGTGTGTGTGTGTGTGTGTGTGTGTGTGTGTTTGTGTGTGTGTGTGCGTGCGTGCGTGTGTGTGTGTGTGTGTGTGTGGGTGTGGGTGTGGGTGTGGGTGTGCGTGTGCGTGTGCGTGTGCGTGTGCGTGTGCGTGTGCGTGTGCGTGTGCATGTGCGCGTGCGCGTGCGGGTGCGCGTGCGTGTGCGTGCGTGCGTGCGTGCGTGCGTGCGTGGGTGTGTGTGTGTGTGTGTGGGTGGTTGTGTGTGTGTGTGTTGGGGACTCACAACGGCAAATCACCGGTTCGTGCTGTTTAGGCAGCTGTGCCTCGGGCTGA